CTGTGTCATTTCCTTCTACATTAGGGAAAGTTTTACAGGCTGTACAGACTTGTTTTTAAGGAAACCCAACCGGTTGAGTTCTTTTTTAAGTTTTGTGGCGGCTCAATTTCCGGTTACGTTTGAGTCGCCGACTTGGCTATAAACTGTGACACGTTTTTGAAGAGAAAGTCCATACTGAAGCAAGATAGTTTTACGATATTTAATAAACAAATTCATAACATAGTAACTATGGACAAAACGGTCAACAGAAAAAATGACAGCACAAGCTCACCCTCTGTCATCCGCACTCAACATCAAACAGGTGACTTATATAACCAAACCACACCCATGTGACAATTACCGGAAGTGCTCAACAAACAAATAAAAGTGACGTAAACAAATAATAATAATACAAATAATGAACTTGGGCTAAGTAGCGTTATGGCACCTACAAGTTTCCTTGTTCATGACCCGGCCTTAAGGACTTTGTTGAGGTGACATGTGGACAGTGTTTGGTTTGGAGCCAAAGGGTGCGACCAAAATACTGGGCCAGCAACTAATGAGGATCAAAGCAGAGTGTGAGAACAGACAAGACAAGTGCAGACAAGTGCAGTCATTCTTCAGCTTGACCATAGAGAGCTGACATCAACGTGTATGCACAAAAATCAAGTCATTAACCAGTTGTGAAGTCAAGTCCAACTAAACCTGGTGTACATACATATACATATACATCTGATGCCTTTTTATCCTTTAGTTTTCTCAATTGTTACAATATTTTAGCTCTGAGAAGTACACATAATTATGGATTTACAGATTGTCATTGGATACATTTTGGCATTTGTACTATACTGGGCAAAATTGACCTGGAATGAACGTGACATTTATATAAAATCAAGAAACATACTCCAAGATAGAGCTGCAACGAGCGATTTCCCCCATTATCAATTCATCTGCTGATTATTGTTTAAATCACTTGATCTTTTGACCCGTTAAATGTCAGGAAAAGAATGCAAAATGTCCCAGAAAAGAATCCAAGAATGCTTCCCATTACAACAACCCGACATCTGGGTCTTTTCAGTGGTTCTGCTCTTGTAGTTTCTCTTATCACAATGTTATGGAGTGTTGTTTCGACTCTTGTAACCACACCGGTGTCATTGCAAAATAACAGAAACAATCACTTTGTTCATTCAGAATTTAGCCGTGGGGTAAAGAACTGCCCTCAAGTGTTTGAAGCAAATGCCAATCTGCTTGTACATGTTTGCAGACACACACACAGATGTGCAGCTTCACAAACAAACGGGCACGTTGAAACATTCCAGATGGCCAAGCAGATTGCTTTGTGCTGATTTCCCCAGTGCAACGTTTGAACGGAAATATCATGCACACAGAGACACCCCGATTCTTACCGAGGCATTAAGACTCCAGACATGTTACAAGTAACCTACTTCTTGCACAAAGACCTACACGCACAGTCACTCGATTACTGCGAAAGAGGTTTAACACAGACTTCTTTTCACAGAGAAAACACAATTTGTGACCAACAGATTATATTTAAACTGGTTATTTCCTATTCTGTAACCAAGCTGACGTGTTTTTAAAACCTCCGTGCTCTAATATTTTGACGTGAACAAGTGATTACTGTGTGTTTTTATTTACAACTCGACAGATTGCTAATTTAATTATACAGACATACATTTAGAGGACTGCTTACTTTGATGATCCTTTGAGCTTTTTCTAGTTCCACCATGATGTTGACATTTCTGATTGCTATGAATTTTGATCCAAACATACTGTTCCAAAAGGATGTATCCTAATAACTTACAGGTTAAAACTATTGGATTGCCTGCATACCTTTAGTTTAAGACCAATTACCTGCCAACTAATCACATTCCCATCAGCCTCTGCGGTTGTGTGTGCTCTGTGCTAAATATAACATGTTTGCTCACATGTTAATCTGAGATATTGAACATGGTAAACATTTTTCCCAGTAGACATCCCCATGTTGACATTGTTATTGTTAGCATGTTGACAAAGCACAAGCACACAGAACCCAAAGCATGTTTAGAGAATCCTAGTCTTAGTAGATAGATAGATAGATAAGTACTTTATTGATCCCAATTTTGGAAATGTTTGCGTTGCAGCAGCATAAAAAGGCAATGTACATAAGAGAAATGAAGACAGTCAAAAATATTTCTGAAATAGAAATAAAATCGCATTCAAAAGTTAAAAAAATATATACATGTGGAAATACAAATTTCCAGTACCAAATATAATGCAGGATATTAATTGTGCAAGAAATGGATTATTCAATATTAAATGGAATATAAATGTAAAATGTACAATGGGAGTTTGAGTCCAGTTATCAGGATATTAGGATTTCATGCCTGCAATAATATTAAAGGTAGGGTAGGTACATTTGAGAAACCAGCTCGAGATCGCTAGAATTTGAAAATACACAACCGGAGAAAATCTGCCACTTCCTTACAGAGCCCCTCCTCCAACACACACGAACGCGCACATGACCAATGAGGGCACGAGATAAGTTTGTGCCCCGATGGAAGGCTGACAGGCAGGTAGGCCATCCAGTTATTTTAGCCGGGCCGGCTAAAATGATTGGTCGTGCTTTTTACAGTACTACGGCTTCCACAGATGACATTTTTTATGGATTTGTTGTCAAAGCACTTAAGATATTCATTGCTATCGGGATGTTAAGAGCATTCCATGGAATATAACAAAAAGTGTATCTCGAGCCGGTTTCTCAAAATTACCTACCCTACCTTTAATAGTTTTATTGTTTTGTAAACAAACGTCGGATTTTCATTGTCAACATCTCAGTAACGTCTACTGTTAGACAACGCTTCAGGTTTCTGCTGACACTGTAATGACACATCTTTTTGTCATCTGACAGTCATCAACCATTGTGTCGTTAGTTATTCAACTAACAGATCACCCAGAGGCTAAAAACCATTCTGTTAATTGTACAGTAGAAGAAAGCAAACAGGGTTGCATTGTGAGCCTGGACTCTGTATCATGCTGTAACGCTGTCTCCCTTACACAGTGCACTGAGCTGAATGGGCGCTCAGCTGCAGCTCAGCTCTGAAAATCAGCTGACTGGAGGATATCTGTCCTGCCACTGTGGCGTCTGGCACCGCACATCTGGCATTTAAAAGGCCTCGGAGCAAACGTGCTGACAATACTGTTTCGTGTGGTCTCTATTTTCAGCCACCTGGTTTTCGACGTCTGTTGTTGTCATAGCAATGAATGCGACATTTATATTTATCCTGCATCTAGATGCCAAGTGCAATAGCTGTAATATACAAAACAATCCGCAGTTAAAGAAAGGAGTCTTGGGTATGTGCATTAACGTGTTGGAACGCACATTTTTGCAGTGTATAGTACCCTTTCTTCGGTTTTTAAAATGAACCCTTACAGTAAAAAAAAACACTTAAAATCTCCATTCCAGCTTTGAAACTAACGTCTATATCAGGCGTAAATGGTGCAGTCACTCAAGTTGACTCATGTCCTTGAGTCATAATTGTTCCAAGCTCATTCTGCTTGAAAAGTTGAGCGTAGCTGCAGGAGTAATACGCTTTTCTAGAATATCTCTCTGCCCTTCAAACACTCTCACTCATTTCCACATAGCTTCAATGGCTTGTGGTTTTTGCAGATATGATTTCTTCACAACATTAGCCCTAGTTATTGCATAGATTACAATCACCGCCGTGCCGACCACAAACACTTCCTGAGGGATGTTGAGTGAGTGCTATAAGTAGAAACATACATTATTAAGGTGGCATGTTCACCATACAAGAATACACATGGTTTACATACTGTAAGTGGTCTTGTTGTTCATCAATGTGAAGGAGGAGATTGTGAATGAAACACATTGACATTTGCGGAATTTTTAAAGCTGTTATGACTGTTTGATATAAAGCTTTAAATCAGTTCAAATCTGACAACCAGCACCTCTAAAGATAAAGGTAACACTGAAAGTAAATATATTCACATAACGACTGACTCAATTATGCTACTCTGAACTCTACTCATATAGTTTGAGGCTAGAATTGTCTGAAATTATTACACAATGCCAGAGAGTGGATTTTTAGCATTTTAAAAGGGACATCCAGTTCTTGGAAAAGTAGATTTTTGGGGTTTAACATTGTTTTTTAAATAATTTGAAGTAATGAATCACGACAAACCAAAAACAAATGCCAGGGTCAGTCCCTGCTGCCCGAGAGGAAATAATTAATAATTTGAAAGTCAATCAATTGTCACTTTTCACACAAAAATGACAAATAAAGCCAAGTTCCAGCCTTTCAGTTGTGAGGATATTTTTGTTTTGTTCGGCTGTGACAGCAAACTGAATATATTTGATTTATTTTTCATGTTTTTTTGGCATTTCACTAACCAAATGACATTATCAAATTGTGTTCTCGCAGGACGCTTTGTTGAGCACAAAGAAGGGTCATTTTTGTGCCCTCACATGGCCCATCAGAGGAAATCTCTTCTCTCTCCTTTTACTCTTACACAATGGCTGTTCAATAATTCAAGTACTCTGTGCAGAACATGTTGCTGCATTCAAGCCATGTTCAGGAAGAGCTACAGGCTTTCCGCCACGACTAGAAAGCTGACATTCACCTGGGGGTTTGCAAGATACATGGCAGAGCTACGAAACAGCAGTAGGAACACCGTCGAACAGGAATGACAAGAGCTAAATACATTACATGTGACAGGAGACATAGACGTACTAAATACTGTAAATGGCTTTTCATAAACCCCAAGGGTCACTGTTGTAAGAAGGTATATTCTACTTTGATTTTAGCATTTCATAGCTTGAACCTAAAGGTAGCTTCCCTTGATATAATGTATTTGTACACCAAAAAACAGTTTACATAAAGGCAATTCTGTCAATTTAACACCGTGTTTGACTGTCTAATGTGATTTATTTGAAAGCGTTAATCACCTAAAACCACTTTTTCTTATATTTCTCAATGAACAACAAAAGTGTTGTGATTCCCAGATTTGCTATTATTAGCCCATTGTTTATTTATTTATAATTATTGTGAGTAGCGGGTTTTAATCCGGAGTCCCATTTAGTTTATTGGAGCCCATATGTTTGACACATTCCTCCTTTTGCAATGCATTTACAGTTGATTGGATTATATTGACTGTAGCTGATGTCATACATTTAAAAAAAAAAAAAAAGTAAATTTCCCATGATTCCTGGGATAGTGTGCTTCTCTCCTAAGACTGAAATGTTATTATTTTTAGGGAAAATATTGATCAAAATTCTACTACTAAATGGGCTATTGAACAAGAAAAAGAAAACGAAATTCAAGCATCTTTTGTTGAATAAACTTTACACTATGACACTCAAACAACACACAGAGCTTTGTCAATCAAACAGATGGATAACAGTTAAGATAGAGTATTGGACATTAAAAAAAGACACAGGTTGTAAAATGAATCAGTGGCTGTATTTCACTTTGTTCTCTGGCTCATGTTTTGTACTTATTGTAGTTTTGGAGGGTGTAGGTTGCCACGGTATCCAACAGCCAACCACGAGTCACGACTGTAGCTTGTTTAGACAGACCTGTTGAAAAAATATATATTAGTGAGTCTACAAAAGACAAAATCATGGGTTTGTTCAGTTCAGGCACAATATTTGAAAGAAATACACACACTTAGGAAATACTAACCAGGATATTATCAAGGGCTTGCTAATGATTATTAGATTGAATCCATATTGACTAATTAATGTATCTTCCTACTGTAGCATATGAGTATTTATTAGTTAATTATTGTTGCATTACTTCGTTTATTTTTTGTTGCATATTTATTTTTTTCCGCCTCATGCTTTTTAATTATTATTATGCACCATCATTTAGTTTTCTCTAAGCCTACAACTTATCTCTCTTCAGCCGTCTTTATGCTGTTTGTATATAAATGGCAAAATAATTCACTCAGAATTTTAAACTTGACGTCTATACATTAAACATTTACGTATGTATATTTATATGTTGAGCTTTAGCGCTGTCATAACATTAAGACCTATCAGTTCTGAATGATGGTGGTCCCAGAAGCTCAACACTTAACACCGAAAAACTAATCCTCTCTCTCTTATCATAAATCACGCACATTTGTGAATTAAGCAGCACTTTTCTTTAAGGCAATAACCCTAACTGACTCCAGAATACATGTTGTAAAACAAAACCAGGAGCGTTTTCCCTTATATTCACACGTTTCCATCTTATCAGAGGATAGTTGTCAGAAAGAGAGAAGTGTGATTTAAATCAATGTTGCATAAGAAGAGGATAAGGGGGATATAGAAGGGGAGGGGCTTCTCGATTACCTGCGCTGAGTGCCAGAGGACGGGGAAAAAGCTGCATTAAATATGCAGCAGTGTAAATGAGGATGCCAGGAGGGGGAAGGGGGGGGGCGGCTCGCTGCCTCTTGCTCCCTCTCTGTTTCAAACTGCCGGCTCTCTTCGTGCTGTGGCAGCCTCTCTCTTTAGTAGCCAACTTGTTTTGACATTTCCCCCAGCTCCGATGTGACATTTTCTCTTGGCCGTTTCTCTGCCTCCTAACTTCTTTCACACTCACTCGCCTGGCCAGTCACTTCTCTCGCTCTTGTTGGAAACCTGTCTCACACTGGCTGCCAGCGTCTGCCATTTCACCGCAGTGTCGCTCTCACACGCATTTAAATCCATGTACTAATGGACGGACAGGTGTGCAAACATGCACCCGGGACAGAATGTCTATATTTGTGGGCCATTTGCTACAGTTTTCAGAAATGTACTGCCTCGTCATCAACCCCCCTTTTCTAAATAACAGGACCAAATGATGATAACCTTGTTGAAAGGGTAAACATTTATTGAGAATGAACACATAATGTTTGTTTTCATAAAACCATCTTGAATACACACCACAAAATAAAATGAAATTATCAATTTTAATGTCATTAAGATAACGGACAGTTAAAGACTTTCTATATTTTAGTGCGCTAGATGAGTCTACAAAAGGTATACTTCTTAAGCATAAAGCTTCACCTATGTCAATTGTTGTCAAACTGTTTGAAACATATTGTTGATAATAGTTAGTTTCAGGCTGGGACAACCTAAACATCAACAATAACAACAGCTATTACAAAAGAAAATCACAATAAATAGTTTAAAAAAGAATATACATTTTCTTACAATGTGGCATTAGCATTTTAAAGCTAATGAAAAAAGCCTGGCAATGCTGAATAGCTAGCATCAAGAGGCAACATGTGAAGTCATGTTTAATAGCCTGCTTCTTTCCTAAGCCATTCTTTTTACAATTTAATGTCAAGTCTTTTATTGAATTTCCTTTTCCTTAGAGAAAATACTTTTCAAATCAACATACTTGAGCTAACTTGGTTAGCTTGAAAACATGAGCCACATGCTTACCCATGAGCCACATGCTTACCCATGAGCCACATGCTTACCCATGAGCCACATGCTTACCCATGAGCCACATGCTTACCCATGAGCCACATGCTTACCCTGTGTCTCTTAAGAGGAAACTTGAACACTCTACGTAGGTCGAGCAGGAAGTCCTTCTTTGACTTAAATGAACAAGAGTCGCTATTTGAAGTATCCAAATTCAGGAAAACTAAAATAATTGGTGGCAAACAATCTCATCTTGTATCACAGAAATAATAGTTTGTCTATTATTTTGCTCCAAAAGGAAACCTCACCATGTGTCATCACTCAACATGTTTTCTCAATACTGACTTGCTTTCTCTCTAAGCCAGCATACATTGTGCTCGCAGCATATTTGCATGGATGATCACAATCTATTGGCATATTATCCATCAAAATGATTCCTCTCTGACACTCTATAGGTCCGTGCTTGTCCCAGCCTCGAAGCCCCGGGTGAAACCGTGAAGGAATGAGCTCCAGCTGTCGTTGTCAGCCTAATCTTTATGAACTCTTTATGTCCATGTGTGTGTGTCTGTGTTAGTGAATGAAAGAGAGATCGAGTAAGAATAACTACAAGATTGAAAGTGTCTCATATGTTAGACTCACTGTTGTATGTGGACGAAGACGACTCAGATCCAGGCTGTACGATGACAAGCTGATGGGACTTCTGCTTGACAAAAAAAAAAAAAATGGAGAAAACATGCATTATTCAGTATTAAAAATAAGCAGCAAGTAGAACTAATACTGATATTTATAGCCGGATTAATTGGAAATGAATTAAATTCTCACACCTGCTTGTCAGATTATCCAATAGCAACATGAGGTCTCTTGGATTTAACTTGGCTGCTTTAAGGGTTATTAGATCTGGGGATTTTCAGCATTACTCAATCCTTTTTTATTTATAATGTGTCACTTAGATGATTCATGGCTTAATTTAAATACATTTAAAATAAAATCAAACCCATAAGGAAAACATTAGACACTATGGGAGCCACAGCGTTGTAAGTCAGATAATTGCTCAGTGTTGGGGGAGGCATGCAGTTCACTGACTTCCACTTATTCCCTAAAGGTATTAGATTGCTCGTATTGATTGTAATTTATGACTACCAGAAATCTGAAGTGAACTGCAATCATTAAAACTGAAACACTACACTGTAATAAGAGAACAATACAATGAGCTAAATGCTAAAGTCTGCATGTTAACATGGTGACGAAGTAAAGGTTATCTTTGTAAATCAAATAAAAACCCGAATCATATGCTAAAACCAAGGTATCAAGGTTAATTTAAGGTAATCTAGGAGTATTAATGCATTCCTGCAAACTCAAAAACATCTGATTTGAAACAATTCTCGCTGCATTTTAGCATTTTGTTAAAGAATACTCAACAACGAGTGGCTAAATAACTGACTTACCTGTTTACGGTCGAGGAGAAGTGGGTCTTTGACTACAGCTGCTCCACAGAGCTCCACCATCCACTCCATTTCATCTACAAATAACACAAAGTTGGCTGTGAATGTTGACTGTTTTGATAAAACGTGTCCTTGGTTACATTAAATGTGATTCTCTCTGCTTCAACCTCCAGGGGATACAAAGCAGACTCATATCAAGAAGAGACTTCCTTTGATCGGAAAGATGGAAAACCGGTCAATACATACAACTCTTCCCCGCTGAATCAATATCTGCATCTTACCCAAACACACAGTTAACTTCATTTGGAAAATAAAAAAACGTTTTGTTGTCCCTTCATCATATCAGCCACTAAACACCGGCTGGAAAAACACAAGTCATTTGAGTCAGGGAACCTCAATCAATCTGCAGTGTGCACTGTGGGTAACCTCATCATCATACAACACAAACACAAGCAATTCAATAATTGATGAAATCTTGCAGTGCTGAAGAAAACAGACTCCAGCCTCATGATTGTGCCATGTAAAGGAAAGTCTTTAAACTCCTCACGCTAGCTAGCAGATGTCGACCCATTAGCAAAGCTCCATCGATCCAGAAGGCAGCGGGAGGATGCAGCAGAAGCACTTTAAGAACCGCAGGAAGGAGGAAACTAAAGAATGCTGCCTTGTGGGTTTTGAAGCAATGTGCCCCGCGAGACCTTCACCCATGATCTATGTGTGCTTTTATTCATGCGGGAAGGGTAAAGACCAAAAAGCATTTAGTTTGAAGGGCAACCCAACTCCTCTTGACCTTGATGTTTATTACAGTTTGAATCATTCGGACCAAGGTTGGTGCAGAAAATGTTAGACCAAGATTTCTATTTTAGAAAATGAAAACAGCATTTTAGCTACGACTAAAAGCTTATTTCTATTTTCTTTGATTAAAAAAAATCCAGCCAGCTAACTGACACCATAGCAACCACTGTGCAATATGAAAACACACCAAAAATGTCTCGCAAAACTCCGAAGTCCACATTCAGTCCACCCACACTCTGGAAACACTTGTCATTGTTCTCCGGTGTCAAAATGACAGGCGTTTAAAAAAATAGCACCGGTTTCAAGCTGTGTCAGTCAAAACCTCTGTCAGCTACTTTAACTTTGGTTTTTATTATGTTTCCCTCTTTCTCTTGAAAAGCAAGGCGGGTGTCTATCAGGGTCCTGCAGGACAAAAAAAACGGAATAAGTGCAGTTGAGTGAAGTCATTCTCGATTGAGAAAACAGAACGGTGCAAACAGCGTGACGACAGCTAGGAAAGAAAAAGTTTTGCAGTGGTTTCTTTGAAAGAATATGCTAATTAAAGTGTGAAAAGCATCTCTTGTGTGGTCAGTAATCAGAGACATTATCTAGGTGCTGCATTTCCTGTAGTGTTTGAGTGCTGTGTTACTCGAGTAGAACAACAAAAATTATGGTAATTAGAGATGGCTATAAAGTAGAGGGCAGCTGGTGTATTATATATTCTATTAGACTAAATCTATCTAAGCAAATGACATGTTACATACCTTATATGGTATGAAGAAGTGGCAGTTCAAACTGAAACCTCAGAAACACATTGAGGAAATGCTCGGATAGCAAAAACTTTTACTGAAAATAAACTAGAACAAATTTGATATTTGCAAGTTACTCATCACCTTGTCAGAAATCTGCATTTCAAACACCTCCCTGTTGCCGCTTACAGAGCTCAATATGCCATGTGCTGGCAGGACTACGAAACAAAGACAAAAATAACCCAAAACACTTTACACGCTAACTAAACTATCTGCATAAAACCTCTTTGCTAAGCATGTTGAGATGCATGAACGAGGGAGTGATGTCAGGTCTTAAAACATTTGCAAAGAGGACTGTATGGTTACATTTTCTCGATAAACTCAACATGTTTTTTATTTACTTGGACATGTCATGTTGCTGATGTGATTTACCTGTCGTCATGTCTGTGAAAGATCCTTGGAAGCAGATCTTGAAGCCCTTCATGAGTAACTAAAGAGAAAAAGAAAATACTAAGTAAGAAGAAGCTTCACCAAACATAGCTTGACATTTAGAACAGGCATTCCTCACCAAAAAAATCTAAACCTTGATGTTTTTTCTCTCTCACTGTAATACTGCATATTCAGGGATGAGTTGAACAGAATAGAGCAAATAAAGCCAGCGTTGCGGTAATAACACGCTTATAAACACGCAAAGAAAAACGACCTGCCCGAGATCAGGGGCATATTGTTTTATTGCGCTCAGGGTCAATAAGCATGCTTGAAACAGGAATGTAAAATAGTTTTCCTTGGAAACAGGTGACTCATTCTAGTGTGTGTGTGTGTGTGTGTGTGTGTGGATGGAAGATAAATGTCCGAGCTGCTGAAGGGAGAAATACTAATTTCTCTCACCTCCCTGTCGGTCCATAATGATCATTAGCCAGAGGTGCCGGGTGAGATGAAAAAGTGTTTCTGTTGCAGATTTTTAATTTAGACAACACCTAATATCCTTCAGGGGGTATTCGAGTGTGTGATGTGATAACGTGCAAATCCATTCACACACACACACACACACACACACACACACACACACACACACACACACACACACACACACACACACACACACACACACACACACACACACACACACACACACACACACACACACACACACACACACACACACACACACACACACACACACACACACACACACACACACACACACACACACACACACACACACACACACACACACACACACACACACACACACACACACACACACACACACACACACACACACACACACACACACACACACACACACACACACACACACACACACACACACACACACACACACACACACACACACACACATTCTTTAAATGATGTCCTGCACATCAACATTTTGGTCTGTTTGTCACTTTGGTGAAGGTATGGAAAGTGAGTGTGGACAGGACAATCTGTCTGGCTCCGTCGAAGTGTCTGCACTGAATTTAGGCCACTTAAATGAGCCTGAAATGACTAGCTAATTCAATTAGCGGTGGTTCTTCAAAGGCAGCGATACGGTCGGCATAACATCTAGACTTTTCCCGCTCAGTGGCAACAGATCCCGGTCCTGCTGGCTTTAAGAGGGGAAAATTACCATTAGCTTTTTACAACAGGGCCTGATGGTGCAATGAGAGTGTTTGTTATTGAGACACCATCTCATTTTCTTCATGGAATCAGACTGTTCTTTGTTGTTGGAAGAAGCGCTTTCTCAAACAACAAGGTTGGAAATGATTGCGTTTTTTCTTACTCTGGATAAGGCGTTAAGGAAATTGTTCAAACTTTATTTTGTAATCCACTTAAACGTATAGAGTATGTTTTACGTTTCAACAGCTTATTAGTCAAAATGATTGCATCAGTTCTTCTGATGAAGGCTTTTGTGCGCTAAAGGGAGGAGAAAATGGAGGGCAAGAAGCTCAAACCGATCTAAATTGTAAAAAAAGAGAGCGGCCTCTTCACTGTATACTGTATTCACGGCTGTTTTGGGCTGGCAGCACTGCTTTCAGTTTGCTTTACCAACCGTTAGATTACTCTTTAAATGGGGGCATCTTGGTTGCCCAGTTTTTTAAGGATGTAAGAAAAGTAACTGTCCCTCGCTTGCTCTGTCCAGAAACATTTGGTGTCAGTGCCAAATAACATAATCACCTTTTAATCTATTTTAATGTTTCTTATAGACTCATTCTTGTCCATCATATGTCTATCGGACAGCTGAATGTTGTCTTGATACAGTGGTTTCAGTATTTCAAATGCAGTAGTTGAATGTGTGTAGGTTAGCTTAGTTTCTGTGTTGGAGTTTTAACAGATGCTCACATTGCTTGACTAAAGCCAAATCCTCCATCAGATCCAGAGATGTTTGTGAGCCAGCTGCACCGAAACTCACAAACAAACTTCCCACACCTGATTGTGTTTACCAGCCCAGAGAGTGACAGCAGGCGGTAAAGAGCTAAAGCTGGAGGAAACGCCTGAGATTCACTTTTTTTGTACAAGTACAAGCTATGATTACATAGCGGGGCTGTCATCATTTCTGAACGCCAAGCATCAATTGGTTCAGTTTAGCTAAAGATGTGGTGACAGGGTGTCTGCTAAGGTTTTCCGGTTGATGTTAATAAATAATAATTGAGGCTAATTTTTATTCCCACTTTGCTTGTTGATAATTTAGTCCCAAATATTCAATGTTTTAGAGAAATACCTACTTAACTGGCACTACGTTTGAGTTTCTCCTTCTGATAAGCATGAACAATTTGCAATTTTCTGTATTATTGTATATTATATACTAGCCTATGTGCATGTACAGTATGTCTAGGCTCCTGTTGCATTTTGGACTTTTTAAAGAAAATGTTTATTATCCAGAATATTTTACATTGTTTATATTTGATAAACTATTTTGCATTTTCATTACATTTTTTATTCTCTATTTCACTTTTTGAGTATTTGTATTTTAATGTTGAACACACCGCTTCTGTAACAAAAATAATTTCCCAAATTGGGATCAATAAAGTATATCTATTTATCTATCTAACATTTGGATTAATTTACTATTTCTATTTTCTACAGATGTATCTAAAAAGGTTTTAATACTGGTTGTAGTGTGCAAGTATGAAGTATTGTATATGTGGAGATCAGAAATATAACATTATAGCTGAGTCACACTGCTGACGCTCATTCCTTGGGGCCAGACTTGACCTTTTACATGTAGATGAAATAAACACAGTTAAAAAGCCCTCCTGCACGTCGTGTAAGACTCACGCTACGGTCTTCAGTGGTTCGAGCTCTCATGGGGCCCTGATGGTCGGGTCCATTCACCACATCACCTCCAACTTCAAAGGCACTCTTAAAAACAAAGCCAACTTCAGTATACTTACAGTCAATACTTATATCATACTCATAAAGAAAAAGAAAAAAACATTGCCTGTTGCTATTAGCATTTGAATAGGTTAAGCAATATTTTATTCCCATCTCATAAAAAGGACTGATTGTAAACTACCTAATATAACTTGATTTATTTTAAGTGTCTCAGGGTACGCTGAACATCCTTCAGTTTGACAAAGCTCATCTTATAATTGTATGGAGTCTATCTCTACATCCTCTATATTATGCATAAAAATGCTTATAAACTGGGCTGGATGACGAATAAAACTGTTTATAATTAATGGCGTTGCCAAACAAAGCTTGGCAAAGGATTATACTTCGCATAGCACAGAACCAGATGCAGGGATTACAAAAGCAAATGGATGACAAATAATCTACGAGGTATCACAGCAGAGTAAATGGGGAGATTCATCACGCCGCCTTAATTCAACATAGACGTACAGAGATGTGACAGGAAGTCACCGGTGCACAGATTCTAAGAGCATGCAGACGAGCCTACCTCATCCAAGACTTTCTTTAGTTTGAAGCACTCTGAAATCCCTGCGGAGAGGAAAGAAAAAAACACAAGTTTATTGTTAAACACAAACCCTATCCTGGGTGGATACTGTATTATGTAACGCTCCTTTTACTCCTGCCTATTCATTCACATAGAGAGGCGAAGTCCCGCCCATCTACTTCCGACACATGGGACCTTATTTCGGAAAAATTATGTATTGAAGTCAATGGGGAGATAGATTATCTTTCGATCCCGTTTGAATTGTGCCACGAATTACACATATGATGTTTGTCAATCTTAAAAAATAATTTCCTTGTAAAAAAAGTCACAATTTGTCGTAAAACTGTTTAAATATAAGACTATGAAAAATACGCAACTAGAAAGACTACAAATCCCAGAATCCCGGTCCCGCATGCTGGCTCTTACGGAACCGACTAACCCCTAGATTCCACCGGGTCCGTCTGCGCCGCGGTTTTGGTCCGGCCTCCTCCGGCGTCATACCCTACCGGGCGCGTTTCAGAAGCATTTCAGAAGCGGAGCGTCTTGCCTGCCGGCTCGCAGTTTTTGTTGATTTGGGCATATTTCCTGGACAGGCTTCTTTGTACAGACAAAGTTAATAATAACTGTAATATTCCAGTTATAAACGACATGAATCAAAGAAGTGGTGCTGTATTTTAGTGGTAAAAAAATGCATTCATCATCATAATTATTCTATATATATAATTTACACAGTGCCTGTAAACCGGAGGAGAACGCTGGCATTTCTCCTCCTACTTGAAAGACTACGGAGGGATAGGGTCTGCAAAATTAGTTTGTGTGTGTGTGTATATATATATATATATATATATATATATATGCTATATATGCTCTGAACGTTCCACTTCCTGCCTGCCCGACCTTACGTTACGGCTGCGCCACGTCAAAAATAGGATTCATCCTAATTTTAGAGGAGCCCTGCGCCGAGACGCTTCTGAGCCGTAACGCGCCGCGTGTGGTGGAATAGCACCCATTGACTAGAGTGGCCGCGATCGCCGTGGCGCAGCCGTAACGCGCCCGTAACGCGCCGCAGACGGACCCGGTGGAATCTAGGGGTAACTCCCCTTTTGTGTATGTACAGCTCTCAACATGCCCAGACTTTTCGCCTCATTCTGAAAGAAAGAAGTGAAATGTGCCAACGTGACGGCCGTCTTGGTGTGTGGTGCGAGACGGGAGATGTAGTTCATTGAGCGGTTTCACACAAAAAAAGTGTTACTTCAAAGTTTTACGACACATTTCGATTTTTTTGACTTGCAAAATTATCTTTTAAATTGACAAACATCCTGTGTAATTCGTGGCACAATTAAAATGGGATCGAAAGATAATCTTTCTCTCCCCATTGACTTCAATACATAATTTTTCTGAAATAAGGTCCCATGGAGGTCCCCCGGAAAGGGAGGGACTTCGCCTCTCTATTGTGCTGTTTTGTGTTATTGTTCAAAACACATCAGCATTGAGCTTGACAATAAAGTGAATGGAGACTCACACTGGAAGCTCACCACCCACTTCCTGCCTGCGATGCCAAGGAAGTACTTCAGCGTGCGCTCACATACCAGTTGTTCATCTGACAGGAGAAGAGAAGGAGATGTTGTGAACAGATGTGCAGGAGTAGATTCATTAACACACCCTTATGTGAAGCTTTTGATGTAAGTGTTAGGGATGAGATAGGAGACGCTTGATGGTTCCTATGAAAGGAAAAAGTCAAAATATGTCCCGAGTTGACAACCTTGAGTTTTTTTCCCAATTAACAAATAATGTAGTATGCAGATACAGACAATGTGTAGAAAGAGTACCTGTATTCTCTTAAAGCAACACTGTAAGCTTTAATGCAAAATAAAGCACAAATTACGTCTAATACTATCGCTGACTCTCAGCAGAAATTACTTTTTTACTATGTTATCATTTATGCCACTTACAAAAGCACTTTAAAGTAGGTAGGTGGCAGCACAAAGCACTTTAGGACTATTATATTATGTATGTTTGAATGTATAATGTGATAACTGTTTTTGCTGCTCTTATTTTGCATATTTTATTCACCTATGTGTGCGTTTTTAAGAGCTGCACTGGGGCAAAAACCTATCAAGTTGAAATAACGATTAAGTACTGAACCGAAATACATTTAAAATTACTTGGGTAAATCGTGGTGTTATGTTATATTTATTTATTATTCATTTGCAGCTCTTTTAAACTGCACCCACAGCAGAGGAATGAACATAAAACAGAGAATAGCTTCACACTGTTTGATCAGCAGGGTCAGGGGTTGTTCCTCCTTCAGGAAATAAAGTAATTATCCATTGATTTGTATTCCAGGCAGGAGGAAAGTGCACGTTATTGATGTGTTTTTAACAATCAAATGATTATTATTTCATGCTAATGGTCAGAACGGCACACCTCCTGCTCCTTTCAAACCTTTAACCACAAAGATCAAGTGTGCCAGCGTTCCCTTTTCCTGGTTACCCGGGAAACAGCTGCCATTTAAAAAGAAGTCTCCTTAAACAGTGACGGTTAATATGGTGCTTTGGAGACAGCGTGCTCTGAAATTAAAAATAATCTATCAGAGAGGGTAATTAGCAACAAGCAGATGAATGGAGGAGAGGGTGAGTGGGCGAGGGAGAAACAGAAAGCTTATCTTTGAGCTTTAAAAGACGCACAAAACAAGACGTGACTACATGCAGAAAGAAAATGTACGGCTGGAAATGTTCCCACTCAAGAACATATTGAAAAATAGGACCTTGGAAGTGGAATTTTTTAAAAGCAGCTTTAATTGCTCTGCTGTGTATCGAGCTAAGTGCAGTGAATCGATTGTACGCTTATGACAGTCTTAACTAAATGAAAAAATGCTTATATACTCACTATGCCTGCATGCGAGCTCACTTACCTGTGTGCATTATAACATGAGTCACCTCCGGGGTAACCTGGGAAACCACTCGGCCACCAACTCGCTTGGCAAACTTTTTCACCATTGTCTAAAAGGCAAAAACATCAGATTAATTCATATATCCTACTATGACTAAATAGACACATTAATGGATGTAAAGGTGAGTGTGCACCTGTTCATTTGGGGCTAACCCAGATGACGCTAGCACCATCTTAGCTTTGCTTCTGTCTTTCGGAGGAGTGTTGTTTTCTTTGTCTTCTTGCCCATCTGATGGTGAACCGTTGCTCTTTAATGGTCTGGCTGCTGGACTTGAACTGGGAGTCTTGGAGTCTCCGGAGCCTTTTGCACCCGGCCCCGTGTGTGTGGAGCGCTGCACTTCTAAAGAGAGAAAACAAAGTAGAAAGAAAGTTAGCGACAGTTAGACTGATGATCAGACCCAGCTCTCTTTGAAATGGGTTTCTGTATACAAACACATATTTGTCACACAGAGCTTAAGCTCCATTAACCCCACAGTCAGACAAACCATTTAAACTCTGCGCAACTCAAGTCAATCCAAACCTTGCTGGCATACTACAATTATTTTGAAAAGCAATAAAGAGCTACAAGTGGCAGTCGTTAAATAGATCTGTCATTTCAGAATCCTGGAGTAATCAATTAAAAAGGCTTAAAACAATGTCTCAAAGTGTGGCTTTCTACTCATGTGCTTCTGGAAGATTAAAATGCATGTAATCTTTCATTAAATAAGACAGGTGTCCAGCATGCTTCTTTTTTACAACAATACAGTAAGCTTTACCCGTCTCTGACACACCGGGCTCGGCGACCCCTTCTCCATCAGATGGTCTTGTGCTGGGCTCTCGCTCTACTTCTTGAACAGCTTCCCTGCAGAGGAGACGTGTATATTAAAGTATAAAGTAAATGATGTCCAGCTCTGATCAGCAAGGTCAAGTGTATTTTCTAGTAATAAAAATTGAGCTTGATCGATTTCTGACCATTTATGTTTTTGCATTTGCAGGTAGACCACTGATCTAAATTGCTGTAGATAGACATCCAAGTTAATCTATCCAAATATTCCTGCAACAACAGATTGTATTCTCCCGCCTTAATGTAGTTTACACAAAGCGACATCGGCATTACAAAACACCACTAGAACCAGGCTTGGATTTTCGTCATTTTAGGGGCAAGGCCATTTGGCCTTTGGTGTCACACGTTTTTTCAGGGCGGAAAGGCCACATGCCAGGGCACAAAGGCCATTGAGGGAAACATTTGGATTTGGAGCTTACAAATAAATAACTTCACTTTCTGATAAAGAAAAACACACGAATGACATGGAAAACAAATCACTTTTTTAATATCAATAATGTCAAACATTATATCATCATATAGGCCTATGCCTCCTTAGTATTACCGTATGTAAAATGAAATACTCTACTTTGAATAATTAGTGCTTGGTATGTTTTCCATCTACTACTAATCAAATCAAATAATCTAAAATTCTATTAATATGTAACAAATATATTAAATTTCAGAGCAGAAGAAACAGCCTTCAAGGGTCAAACTCTGCACATACATCATTCAGCAGTGCACAGTGAAGCTCCAACATTCAACTGTATGAACAAGCAATACTTTGAAATGCAAGTGTGTGTGCGTGTGCGTGTGTCTCTTTAATCAACTCCTCACAGCTCCTCATATCTGTTCAGAAACTGGACAATAGTTAAACGTGTACAAACCACAGACTGTCTGTGTCATGGCGAATACAGTCGCTGCTTTAATTCTGTCTTTAGGACGTTGTTGTGAGTTTGGACGGAGCTGCTACAACGTTAGTTTAGCCTGATCGATCCGATCTCCATTCAGAAAACATGCATTTTAAAAGGTTTTTCGCCTGCCGTCTTGTCTGCACACTTGTCAAAGCATTAAAGCATGGTTTTTACTAACCGTTATCAGTATTTAGTTACTTCGGCATCATTTTGAAACGTGTATTACAATTAAATCACGGTAAAATAGGTTAATTTAGTTGGTTTCCACCACAGTATTTACATGGATATAATGCGTCCGTTGTGAACGCAGCATAATGCAGTTCAGAAACCACTGTTCTGACGCTTTTAAAGCAACTTTGAGATTTTAACAGTGTGAGGGTCCATGGTGGCCGTAGGACGTACAATTATTTGTGGGGCATAACGGCCAGACCGAGGGGCTACGACAGCCATGGCCGTCATGGCCGCCGTGAAAATTCCACCCTGACTATGACTCAATAAATCAAAGGTTAAATAGTGCTGAAGTTTTACATATATTTAAACTGGATTGGCTTTACTAATTTACATTTACTCAGGAAGGATACTGTGCAGTCAGTAAGTATTGAGAAAGCGACACAATGTTAACAATATTACAATTGAACAGTCACTTCATGGTTAAAAAAGGGTTGACTTGCAAGGTTATCTGCATCCACATAAGATGAACAGATATGGTCTTCTAGTTTTAGGAGAGAGAAAGCAACAGGTCAAGGTAACATAAACTAGTCAATATTTGCTGGTAAATCTTTTGCAGTCAATGATTGTCTAAAGGCTTTGATCTACAAACATTAGCAGATACTTGATATCTTCAGTGAGCTCTGACTGCAGCCACACTGACTGCTGCTGCTTTCAGGAGCCTCGTGCCTTCAGTCTCATCTCTGTGAGGGAACACGTGATCCATGTCAAAACACTGACAAGAGACAATATTACACAATTTGGCAGTTCAAATAAATAAACAAACCTGGGTGTCTTATATCAGAACCTGGCCCGAGAGGGCACTCTCACAACTGCAAGACTGCTTTGAACATACAGCGTGGGACATATTTGAACTCAAGTTCTGCACAGACACTGTAACTGTGGAAAAACGCATTCGGGTCTACCCAAACCAAAAACCATGGATGACAAGAGCGGTGCGGTCTCTCCTGAGCTCCCGTGACACAGCCTTCAGGTCAGGGGACGCAGCCCAGTACAGCATGGCAAGGGCGAACCTGAGGAGAGGCATCAAGGCTGCAAAGGAGGACTACAAGGGAAAAGTGGAGGAGAATTTCGCTCATAACAACGCGCGGTGCGTTTGGCAGGGCCTTCAACAGCTAACCAACTATAAGGGCAAAACACCTGGCACTACTAGAGCTGACGCCCACCTCGCAGAGGAGCTAAACCACTTCTTTGCCCGCTTTGAGGCCAGCAGACCCCCCCACTTTTCTACTCTGCCTCTGTCCCTGCAAACTACCAGCTCCATACCACCTCCCACTCTCAAAGAACATCAGGTGAAGCAGACGCTGAGGTCTGTGAATCCTGGAAAAGCCGCAGGACCCGATGGAGTACTCGGCAAAGTACTCAAAACTTGTGCTGACCAGCTCTCTGGGGTCCTGACCAGGATATTCAACCTGTCCCTGTCACAAGCTTGCATCCCATCCTGTCTGAAAACGGCTACCATCATTCCTGTCCCCAAAAAGACACCAGTCACAGAGCTCAACGACTACAGGCCCATAGCCCTAACATCGGCGGTGATGAAATGTTTCGAAAGACTGATAGCCGACTACATCAAAGCCAGCCTCCCACCCTTCCTCGACCCTCATCAGTTTGCCTATAGAGCCAACAGATCCACGGATGATGCCATCGCCACGGTCCTTCACACAGCTGTGAGCCACCTAGAAGGCCCAGGCAACTATATAAGGATGCTGTTTGTCGATTTTAGCTCAGCTTTTAACACCATCATACCTGACATACTAGTGGAAAAACTGTCAAGCCTAGGTTTCCCCCCCATCTTATGCGCCTGGATTAATAATTTCCTAACAGACCGTCCTCAGACAGTGAAAATAGGCCCTTATTGCTCCTCCACCCGCACCCTCAGCACTGGCTCCCCGCAGGGCTGCGTGCTGAGCCCGCTACTCTACACACTATACACACTCTACACACACGACTGCTCTCCCACCCACCCCTCCAACTCCATTATAAAATTTGCAGATGACACCACGGTGGTCGGCCAAATATACAAGGGAGCCGACGAGTCGGCATACAGAGACGAGATCCTGAAGCTGTCGGCGTGGTGTTCAGCTAACAACCTACATCTGAACACAAGCAAAACAAAAGAAATCATCATAGACTTCAGAAAGCACCGTCCAGAACACGCCCCCCTTCACCTCAACGGAGAGAGAGTGGAGAGGGTCTCCACTTTTAAGTTCCTGGGGGTTCACATCTCGGAGAGCCTTAGCTGGACAGCACACACCACTGCAGCAGTTAAGAAGGCCCAGCAGCGACTACACTTCCTGAGGGTGCTTCGGAGAAACCGACTGAACAAGAAGCTGCTGGTGTCCTTCTACCGGGCGACCATCGAGAGCGTGCTGTCATACTCCATCTCTGGGTGGTATGCAGGATGCTCAGCTGCGGACAAGAAAGCCCTGCAGAGAGTGATCAGGATGGCAGAGAAAACCATCGGCTGCCCCCTGCCCTCTCTGGAACACATCTCCACCTCCCGCTGCCGCAACAGAGCTAACAAAATAATAAAGGACAGCTCTCACCCAGGTCACAGACTGTTCTCTCTCCTGCCTTCTGGGAGAAGATACAGGAGCTTCGAGTCACGGACAAACAGACTCAAAAACAGTTTCTACCCCTGGGCCGTCAGGCTGCTTAACCACCACACATAATGCAATAACCGTAACCAGTCTCACACATACACACACTTTTAATGCACTTTATATACTATTTTTATATCAATATTTGTAACTATTTATTCCCCCGTATGTTTGTTTATGGTGTCTGTCCTATGGCCGTGTTTTTTAGTGTTCTTTATGTGTTTGTATTTTTTGCACACCGGGACAGAGTTGCACTCTGAATCTCGTTGTACTCTGTGTACAATGACAATAAAAGGCTTTAACTTTAACTTTGTCTGTATGTTTAGGGTTATTATGCTGCTGCACTGTGCTAAAAGAGAGGATTATGTCCCCCCTGAAGCTGAATAGCAGTTAGTTAAACTCAGTCATTGTTTCTTCTCAAATCAAAAATGCTGGAATAGAGCCAAAGCAATAATAACACAACATTGTCTCCTCCCTCCCTGACTGCACACTGCAGCTGTATGAGGTAGGAAGATGTAAATGTAGGATCAAAACTTGTTATTGGCAGAAACTCAATATCCAATTACTCATGAATAAAGTTGAGGTCCCTTGCTTTGTTTTCTTTGGGCTTCCTTTCTTCACGGAAATACTGGCAGAATGCCGCCATTTAAATTACCTGCAACCAAAGTGATAATGACTCAGTGGAAACTTTTCATATATTACAATGCCAGCCATTCTCTCCGATTTCACCAGTGCTTTCATGGAGTATTTGCTTTTTAATTTTAAACTTGAATAGCTAAAGCCCTGCTTGTGTTCATCTGCCGTCTTTTCCCCTCCCTCTCGTGCCTGGAGGACTGCACTTAGAACCCTGCACGGCGAGAGGTTGGGGGGGAGGCAGTCAAGCGGGAGAGATAAATGACTGTGGCAACACAAGTTTCCCTCTAAGTGCTCTAAATGACATATAAGATGCAGTCAGTAATGACTTTTAAGCAGATTCTAGGTTCATTAGTGAGATTATCCGCCTGTCCTCTTGAGATGCATCACCCTCTGAGAACGAGACTAGCAAGCAACACACTCATACACACACACTTAAAACACACAAACACTAACTTTCTCCTTCAGTTAGAAACTGAAAGAGACCAATTACATGCCACTTGCTCCAGTTATTTTTGTACCTAATATGGTGGTTTTAAAATATGGCTCAATTTAAAATGTATTAACAATATTTACAATCCTCTGAGGAGAGACATACAACACACTGGAGCAGAGATGACTTAATAACATTTGTTTACACAGTCAGATATACTCAGGTTTGACTTTAAGGTCTGCATATTTAATGTCCAGGTATGAGAGTGTTATCGATTTTCTCATCAAACTCTGCCAGGAAGTGAAGACGCGTATTTCCCAGTATACAAAGTATTGTTTAAAGTACTGTAAGACCATTGAGATCTCACATCATTACAAATCTTCCCATCCTTTTCAATAACAACAAATCTAGAGATGGCCAACCTCTGTAGGAATGAAGACAGTTGACATTGGAACCGGTTTAGACCAATTCTTGAGAATAATTTATATTATCAGCTCCTCTAATCGTTTCCCGCTTACTGCAAACAGTGACTTATTGTTAGGAGGTAAGCTTTGTGTTATCATGTTAGACAGGAGATTAAGGAAGTATTTACCTTTAGTTTGAATGTGATTGCACTGTTGTTTCAATAGCAGTTTAGTTTTACTGCAATAGAGATTTAAAAAAATGAAGCTTAACTTAAGTTTGGTTCATTTTTTATTACCTACAATATTCAGTTTGGATGTTTTGTATTGTTTTTTTAAAATTGTTTTCAGTGTCAAAAAACGTTGCATATTGTCAACTATCATCATTATTTTGTTGCATATATTTATTTTTGGTTTATTCTATATTTTATTGATTTGATTTGTATTTATGTTTATATTACATTACATTACATGTTACTTGTTAGACGCTTTTATCCAAAGCGACTTACATACTCAATACTGTGGGCAATCAGCAATTTGGGGTGAAGTGTCTTGCCCAGGGACACAACGACATGCTGACTGCAGTGGGGTTTGAACCTGTGACCCCCTGATCCCAACACCAACGCAATAGACCACTAAGCCACACGCCTTATATATATATATATATATATATATATATATATATATATATATATATATATATATATATATATATATATATATATATATATATATATATATATATATATATATATATATATATATATATATATATATATATATTATATATATATATATTAGGGTGGTCCTTAAAATTGGAAGTCGGAAAGTCTAAGCTCCAACCCCCAGAATTAATTCTATTAGTCAAGAAAACTCTCCTGGTGAATGTTTTCCTCAATCTGACAACATGTACCCCTCCCTCATCAGCCTGGGCTGCCACACCAGCAGCCACGGTGCTGCGACTGAGGCTAAACTTCAAGGTCGATGAGGGAGGGGTACATGTTGTCAGATTGAGGAAAGCATTCACCAGGAGAGTTTTCTTGACTAATAGAATGAATTCTGGGGGTTGGAGCTTAGACTTTCCGACTTTCAATTTTAAGGACCACCCTACGTGAGGCTAAACTTCAAGGTTGATGAGGGAGGGGTAAATGTTGTTGGAATTTGAATAAAATTCACCAGGAGAGTTTTCTTGACTAGTATAACGAATTCCGGTGGTTGTAGCTTAAATTCAATTAATTAAAAAAATGTACCTCTCACAAAGGACCACCCTAATATATATATATATATATATATCTTATTTTATAGTCATTTATCTTTCTGTCGTATGTTTGTTTGTTTATCGGGGAATACCACATGGAGAGGGGGAGAGGCGGGGTTTGGGGGTTTACAACTTTTTGTCATGAATGCTGGACATATTGCGTTTGTTATTAAAAACTGAAAAATAAAGTTGTTAAAAAGAAGAAAAAACCCTCAAATGATGCAGTTTATGATAATGGACTACTGGTTTATTATTATATCTATATTTTGTATTCAGCCTGTGAGATGAGGAAAATCATATCAGGGAAGAGTCAATATGTCTAAGTCCAAATATAAACTTCTAAGCAAGTAAAAAGAGAAAGAGTAAAAAGTCTACCATGCTTTAATTACTTACTGGTCTGAACCTGGGCCTGTGACCTTGTTGCACGATGGGGATCTGTTTGTCTCTTGGCCTGGGGGCACAAAATAATCCTCATTGAATCAGTTTGAACTAACGTTTCAGCTCCAAATTGAACATTCTACATGGATCATGTGCTCACCTGTGGTTTTGCTGCTCTGATCTGTTTTTGAGGGGTCTTCTTTTGCAGGACTGTCTTCTTTCTCCTGAAGCACCTCGGTCACCAGAGCCATCAACTTCTCCAACCTCACCAGCTCATTCTGCATGTCTATCTTTTGCTGAAACAGAAAAAACAAACGTCTTAAATCATGCACTTAAGTCAAACACAGGGTGGAATAAGACGAGAAAGGAAGGGACGCTTACTGCCGGCACAGTTGGAAGCATATAAACAAAAACAACTGTCAATCAGTGAAGAAGGACTAACAACTCAGCCAGTTAGTCTTTAATGAAAGGGAATGTGTGCTTTTTCAGCCAGACAGCACTTAGTCAGGAGAATACATGGCAGGAAAAGAGAGCCAGGAGGTGATAATATTTAACATATATGAAAGGAAAATCAGTAAACAACAGAGAGAAGTGACAACAGCTATTTCAAGCAGTGCTGGTCGGTATAAAAATGTGTCTCAACGCTTCACTGGCTTTGACTTTCATCCTTTAAGTTGACAGCGCAAGTTCATTGATTATGTACACAAACGCGTAGCCAAATAACAACAAACCTCTGTACCCACAGATGTGTTTAAACCTGGGCTCTTTCTAAACCCCAGGGTGTGAAACTTGCACTCGCAGTCACAGACAGTCGACAGATAAAAGTGGAAGCAGTGGAAGATGGATGAGGTAGAAAACAAGAATCATCTCCTAGGCGGCATTTCCTCCAACGTAAATGAAATGCAATTTAGAAAGCTGCTGAGGGGGACATTTTTTACTGAGCGAGGCAGTCCGTCATCTCGGAGCTGACAGTTTGGGTGGGGGAAGTGTAGGCGCTGCCCTCTATGGGGCGTAATGTGACAATGCATCACTGTGAGCAAAGGTAACGCTGAACAAGCATCAATATCGAAGGTTGATTTATACAGCATACTATGAATACAAGTAATTGGGAACATAATCATATTTACCTGTGTGACAAGAACTTCGCTTGAAAATTGTGATGATTCATATTGTGAAGTGCCGACATCATTCACTGGGACATCACCTGCAGAGAGAAAATAATCAAATAACCTTGTGTCTAAATGCTTGAGAATGTTTTTTTTATTAGGGATGCCAATGTTTCAATCAATACATTATTGGTGGTTAGTATGAAGTAAAAAGACCGAACAAGAGCAGCATCAATACTCTCCGAATCAGGAAGACAACATGATTGCAAATTGATGTTTTTTTACAGAGTCTGAACTGTTCTTTGTTTTTGTAATGTCAGTGAGATTAAATTAGATAAGAGCTATGAATTATTAAATCATCCATCTTGCTCATTACACCGTAGTCTTTCTTTCCCTGAGGTGTGTGTGAATTACAGATTATGAGCTTGTTTTTGTTCAGTATCTGCCATGAGCAGAAGATAATTATTGGCTGAAACAAATCCATATTTTGCATCCCTATTTCCCAGCTCAAGACACACACATCACAAAGCTGGGAAACAAAACAGCAAGCAAGTGAGTAACACAAGGTAAGACTTATATTTCATACCTAAATATACACGTATCTCAGGAGGCTGCAAACCTAAAAATGGAAACTAGTAAATTGGTAGCTGAGAATCAACTTACATTCATCAGGCGTGCTAAACAGGTCCACAGAGCCTTGGCTGGTAGGAACACAGTCGGGGCTGTGGCTTGCAGGTGGACGGCTCATCTGTTGTGCTCCAGGAACTGAAACACCCTCACATCTAGCTTCTCCGGAGTCTCCCTGGTCCTTTGTCACAGCAGAGCGAGAAGCTGATGTTCCGAAAATCTCTGTCAAAGTTGGTAATTCCTCTTCACTGCGGTCTGACTCTGAGGAAGACTCGAGCCTCTGGGCCCTCTTCCTCTTCTTGGGTTTGCTCTTGAGGGAGGAATGGGCGCTCAGCTCTCCGCTACCACAGCTGTTTGCTTCACGGATTTGTACAACTGGTGCACTGAGGCCGCTGGGAGTTAAAGAGAACTCTGTGTTTACAAAATGTTCAGCAGTGTTGACTGAATGTGTTCCACCGGCATTTGTATTGCACACGTCTCTTATCTCCATCCCTTTGCCAGCATCAAGCTGCTTCTCTGTGATCTGAGAATACTTTGAGGGTTCATTTAACTCGTCATGTTCAGCTGTGAAGCGGAGCCCAGAATCTACTACATGAGGCACAGCGGAGAGATTAGGACTTTCTATTTTGCGTTTTGACACTTTATTGGGAGTGAGGGCGCTGCTGACATTATTCCTGGAGAAAGAGATATCCTGACCTGAACAACTGCTATCAGGGATGGAGGCTTCTACCACCACTTGATCAGCTTTCTCAACTAGTTTTCGTGTTAGGGAAGGTGAGATGGAAGGGGATATGAAATCACAGCAAGATGAGGTTTCATTGTCTCTTAATGCTTCTTGGTTTGTCATTTCAGATTCCTTTGTGTACATCTGATTATTTACAGATTCAACACCAGAACCAACACGCTTGCTATCCTTTTCTTCGGATACCTGCACGTTTTCTTGGTCGAAGCCCCGGGTCCTTTTTACATTTGAGCCGCCAAGATTGAAAGATTTCCTTTTAGTGGCTTTGAAGCTCTTGAGCAGTTGCTCCGTGTCCAGTTCACTGTCATTGTTATCTTCCTCATGTTCAGCTCCAGCACATTTTGTCTGGTTAGTCAAGGTTTCCAAGCGAGTATTGTTAGGGAGATGATTTGCTGGATTGTGGCGTTCAAATGTTGGAGGTACCACAGTGTCTTCATGTGGACTGGTAGAGCTCGGGACCACAGCGACATTACAAGCAGCACTAGCTTCAGACCAAGTGTCAGTATTTGGTACTTCGACAATGGAATCTGGAGCATTTGGTGTTGGTCTCTCACCAGACTCCATGTTTTCTATTCCTCCTAAATCATCACCATAAATGCATCCATTTTGTTCAGCCACCTGCGTCATGCTTTCATTCTTAGGTGATGGCATATCATCCAATTCTCCATCTTTAGCTTCCTCAGATTGCTTTGCAACAATGCTTTTTTTTTTAGCTTTATTGGCTCTCCAGTTTGCTTTCTTGTGACCTTCCTGGACTTCCTCAGCAAAGAGTTGAAGTCTTCTACTTCTCGTATTGCTCCTCGTGACAGGGATTTCTTGTTCCTCGCTGCTTGGGTAATTTTCAATATGTACTTGAACTTCTTCTGACCTCGGTTTAGCCATAGGACTGGTTTCTCCATTTTGAACTCCGACCAGAACAAGGGGTTTCGGCACTCTAGCCGGCTTGCCATTTTCTGACCTCGTGTTTCTACCTTTCTTCTTGTCAGTTTTCTTTTGCTCGGTACTTTCTGAATGTTCCTCGGCTTGCTTCTGCAAATCAATGTCGACCTGCTGCAGAGAGCTGCGTGTCCTTTTCTTCAACTTATTTTTTGGTTGTAGTGGTTCAATATCAGACGGAGGACAAGGAACCTCATCTTTGCCATCTTTCTTACTTTCTGACAAGTTGTCAAACTCTTCTCCGTGTTTGTCCGTGTCATTTTCCAGAATGACATCCATCTTTTCTGCCTCTTCAAAAATGTCACTACTGGTATCAATAACCTGGTCTATCCTTTGTTGCTCTTCCTCCAAATCGCTGCCATGTTTATCTTCGGTGCTTGTTTTCTTGACAATATCAGCAAGAGTGTTCCTCTTATTTATTTTGGAGTTCTTTTGTGTTTCTTTGGTTGTTTGTGGTTCGACATGTGGAGGAGACCTGTTCCTGTTTCCTTTTCTGTCTCGTTTGTAGACGGCCCCAAACACCTGCTCATTGAGAACTTTAGCACGATCCTCTCTGGTAGGATTCATAAAGATGCTATGTTGTTTGACATCTATTGTTGAAGATGAAGAAAAGCTCTCAGAATCGTCTGAGTTTTTGTTGGGTTTCTCTAACTCCAGACTTCCTTCAGTTGGAACTTTCATGAGCCACTCAGCGACTTTCTCTAGACTTTTTTTCTGTTTCTCCTCAAGAATCTTGTCAGGATCCAAATCTGTGTTCTGCTTTTTCCTTAAGGACTTTCTTAAAGGTTGGTCTTTGGTCTCATCTGTTATTAATGGTGGTTGAAAGGAGGCTTTTATTTTGCCTCTTGTTTTGTGTCTTGATGTTGCCTTTTCCACAACGTCTGACATTTCTGTTTCAATTGCTTCCACATTATCTGGAGGGCTGTGCGTTTTCTTGTCAGACATTGGTGGGGCTTCTCCAAGACCACTGTCCAGGCCTTCATTTTCTGTCGTCAAAGGACTTGTGTCTTCAAGTCCCATCAGTCGTGCAAATCCATTCTGGGCTAAAAAAAAACAACAATAAAGGAATGGGGAAATTGGAGTCGACCGTCACGCCGGCGTGATCAGATCACATGACCTGTTCAAGCCGGTGCCGCATAAAAACAACAGTCCGAACAACATTGCTGTGTGTTTCCGTTGAAAGTACTGGCTTGAAACTATATGCCAGTCTTTATTTCATGCAAAAAGACCCAGTAAACACGGAGATACGATTATATAAAGTTAATACAAATATATTTCAAAAGTATGAAAAATGGAAGCACATATTTTAATATCTTCACCGTATTTTATTATTTTACGAAACGGAAAATACTGGAAACTGTAGATCCTGCTCAACAAGATGTATTTACCAGGGAGGGGGTGAGGTAATCAGGTAAACGGAGTGATACGAAGCGAGACGAAAAGAGACGAAGAGGGACGGCGGGAAATGGAGAGAGACGAAGATATACGAAGACAGGCGAAGAGACGAAGAGAGACGGCGATTGAAGTAAAGTGACAGACAAACATTGAGAATTTAGATATAGTTAGATAGATTTAGAGTTTTGAAGATTCAACTATGATGAAGAGAACTCTGAACGTGAGTCAAGCTATAAGCTTGTTTTTTGACATGGAGGAGGAGGAGCCTGTGATGTTGCCCTCTGTATCGTAGTTGACAGAAACTGCTTTGAAGCGTGGCACAGATAAAGACAGAAAAAACAGATTTTTGTACATAATGTGTATATATATATATTTGTATTATATTTATAATAACACTTTTGCCTTATCAGAATGAAATCACATGTACATTATTTAAGCTTTTAAATGTTTTGTTGTGCCTACTGTGTCACTGTTGACAGAACTTGAGAAATTAGGAAAAAACGCCTATGGATACACCTGTTATTTGTTCATACAATTTGTATATAGGTTCATGCTACCTCAATCAAACTTTCACATTATCATATTGACATCCCATGTATATATTTCCAGCTTTCAAATTGTTTCGTTGTACATGTTTGTGTTACCTATATAAAAAATAATATCATTTTCAAAATCCGTTTTTACGTTTTTTTTTGTGATTTTGGGTCCAAAATGTTCATATAGTATCTCAAAATGAATAACATTACTATCAGGTTGTATAGGTGAGGTTGTCCTTAAAAAAAGGATACCAAACATTGACATGCCAAACATTTCTTAATGGGGTTTAGTAAGACAAATCAAAAGTATGCGAAAACGGCCAAATTAGCCCAGGACTCCAAAGGGTTAAAAGCGATTAATCTTTTTTAAGACAACACACTAACCCTAACTCTCGAAATCAAAATATTGAAGTGATAGTCAATTCAAGTGAAATAATGCACCCCCCAGAAGATTTTACCTGCTATAGTTGAAGAGGGAGACCTTGACAGATCATCATTGTCAACATTTTCTTCGTTGTCTGGTGTTTCTTCAAATGGATTATCATGACAATGTTTAGTAGCTTCAGCATCCGAGACTCTGGTTAAAGCAAATACAGGGGAGAACACAGAGTGAGCTAATATTGTGAATTTATCAGCATTTGGTTAAATGGTTAAAGATTCAATGTTCAAAAGTCTTACCCTGGTTGTCCTTTTTCCTGGCACATACCAGTAAAGTCTGAAACCACAAGAGTCATTTTATTAGATGACGTTATGTAAGTTAATGTTACAAAGTTATTTAAAGGAGTCTGTGATGTAGTCTTACAGTTGATGCCTGTGTCATTTTCATACGCCTGAATCATGCTCTGCAATCCTGAAACAAGTCTCTGGAACCCAGGGCTCTCCTGCAAGCTCCTGCATCAGTAAAAGAAAAAGAAAAAAGACATGTCTTGTGATAAATATAAAGTATTATTATACAATAATAATGTCATACTGTCATCATTTTGTCGAACCTTCTGGTTATCTTGGTTTTACACACTGGACAGCTAGCCCTGCTTGGTATGGTGTTGTCCAAAAGCTTCATCACACAACATCTGGTGATAAAGAAAATAACAAATATAGTGTTTGTGAGTGCTTGTAAAAAAACATTTAAAACATTAGTTCCTTTTACAAAATCGATGTAATGAAACACCTCTTACTTGCAAAACTGATGGTCACACTTGGTAGACACAGGTGCAGTCATTAAATCCAAGCTATAGGTCAAAGAAAGTATAAAGTCAGTAAAGAATACGCCACTTCAACTAAATGAAAAACGTGATCTTTTGTAATCTATTTGGCTGATAAACAAATTATATTAACATGGAAAATTGCTCTTCAAGAGACTTTTGTTTGACGTTGAACATGGTATGAATAAAAACAGTGGCAGAGGCAGTCAAATGTTCTAATTTAATTTCTTGGCCAGCAATGCATGACACTCACCATATGGGACACTGCAAGGTCTCCCAAAGGACTGAAATCCCCTTTTTGACATCAGGGGCCAGAGGGGTTTCCATGGTGATTTGTATAAGCTAAAATTGAAAAATCAGAGCACACTAAGAACAATACGAACAAGATAATATTAGACAAAATGATATACTCCAGTGTGACAGGCATTAAGTGGACAGTAGGGTATACGCATCTGAACAAATACTGGATTGGTTATTTTTGTTATGGTAACAAAATTACTCATTATTCTCAATATTTTCTAACCTTGTCCGCAGAAAGTTGACCCTGCAGCTAGTTAAGACAAAAGTGTGTACTTCAGTTGTGTCCCTACTGTAAATATTGATTGTATTGTTCGGCAAGTAGGCAGCTGTAATGTGTGATTTTTTTAAATAATGTTAGTTGTGTCTACTGAGAATCATTTTGTGGCACATTATAAAAGCAGCATAAAGGTTACACAAACCAACATTTATTGAGGCATCCTACTTCAGTGAGATAAATCAGAAGTTACAATTAATGGCAACATTTGGTAGCATATCGAAAGTGTAATGTGACTTTTTAAATGTGTATATCCAGTGTCAGCTTGTTAAATGTACAGCTAGCTAAACGTCACTCTGGCTATCTGCTATGATTTGTTTTGGGTTGCAACACTGACGTTATACGCTCACACTTTCTCACACAATTGACCCTTATACCAACACGTCACACTAAGGATAGACTACAGTTTTTTTTAAACGCCACTGACTTATTGTTATAAAAGTATGTGTTTATATTTACCTGTCTATCTTACAGCTTTGGAGTTATCAACACAGGAATTGCCTGCTTCAGTTTTCCCGCAACTTCATCTTCTTCTGTTTTGTAACGGCAGTTTTCAGTTCATGTCACAGCGCCACCTATTGGCCGAAGACACATGAACACAAATTCTGTCAGTGTGCATAGGAAAATGAGCATTAACATAGACATGTTAGAATTTCTACCCTTTAGATTTTCATTCTAATATCACCAACTCTCTATGGTGTAAAATTATCTGGTTTTAGTTGTCATAATTTACTTTTGTGTCACGTAACGTTGAACCTGTTGTGAAAAAAAACAGCTAATTTCAAGCTACCTGTGTTGCGACATGTATATTACCTTAGTTTTTTCTCTTTTTGTCTGAATATAAAGATTGCCAACAGTCAAACATGTATCAACAGTCAAACGTGTATCAATATAATTAAATATAAATGTCTTTAGTTGACGTCACATCCGTCGTAAACAACAACAGGGAAATGGAAAGAGAAGTCCCGAGGTGCAAAATGCAACGGTCACGCTAACTACATTAAAAGTGATTTCTAATTTTCTACGCTACAAAATCAGGATTATTATGAAATAGTTGTTATTCTACCAAGGCGACAGTGAGTCTATCTTATGTGTTTACACCGCTGATCTATGTTTCACACGAGTAAGCTGCAAAGCTAGTGGCTGCTAGCTAGCTGTCTCGCCATCACGCTATATGTCTAGCTATATTGTGTCGCGTTAACTTATTATGTTTAGCTATTTACAGTCTATGTTTTAACATACGTTCTTATAGCTAGCAATGGAGGGCTCTAAGTCGTCCAGCACAACCATGCAGGTCAGCTTCGTGTGTCAGCGGTGCTGTCAGCCGCTGAAACTGGACACATCCTTCAATGTCCTCGATCGGGTCACAATCCAGGAACTTATTGGTATGTTAACCAGGGATAATAGATATTCGGTGCCTTAAAATGTACGTGTGATCAATTGCACATGTAATCCTGCCTGTCTCCTCCTAAGCTCCGGTAGTCACAGTGACCCCCAGCAAACAGGCTGACAACACTGATGGGAAAACAGCACCAGAGGTAGGTACAGCAGATTGTATTCAGTAGCCTGCAATGGTAAAATGTTGATTGTATACATCACAACATAACACTGTATTTTATATATATATATATATATATATATATATGTATTTTTTATTGCAAATTACTGGCATTGCCACTACGTATATCCAATATATATGAAAGTTATGCAATTGAACTATTTTAGGACTGAGATAACTTACTGATGAGATTCATGTTGCTAATTTAGTGGAAAGTACTCTTTTTTTGCTCAAGAAGCATGTTGAGTCCGAATTACATTTTCCTTTCAGGAGACCTTTGCAGAAAACAAGCAAGATGGTGTGTCAAGGAAATACATCCCACCTGCAAGGTGAGTCTTTTCATTCAAGTAATTGAAATAAATACTGATTAAATCTTTATCTCTTAGTTGATTTGTTTCTCTGTCAAATGAGGGGTGCTACAAAGTTAACCATACTGCTGAAAACTCTACAGGATGATGTCCACAGAGAGCGCCAACAGCTTCACACTGATAGGAGAAGCATCTGATGGGGGTACCATGGAAAATCTCAGTCGTAGGCTGAAGGTAAACCATACTTTCATGCTACTATAAAGAAGGAACGTTTTATTAGGACAGTTTACTCTGATCATGTTATGGTCGCAAACATGTCAGAAGCATGGGCTGTTGACAAAGTATATGTTAGGGTAAAAGTGTGGATGTCTCTGATCCTATCCCACCCAGGTGACCAGTGACCTGTTTGACATCATGTCAGGCCAGACAGACGTGGACCACCCGCTGTGTGAGGAATGTACCGACACCCTGCTGGACCACCTGGACACGCAGCTCAACATCACAGAGAACGAATGCCAGAATTACAAGTGAGCTGCTCAACCACAAAGTAACATTTGTGTATCAGTTTTCACACAAAAAGATTATTAAGAGAGGAAAAATGCTGACATGGTTGCTACCTACAAATATGGATAATACAAAAAAACACTAAAAGTGCTAATTCCATTTGTCTGTTTAAATGCAGTATAGTAACAAACTGTATGTGAACATATTTTTAGGCAGTGCCTGGAGCTGCTGTCACACCTGCAGGTGGAGGGGGAGGAGACCCTGCTGGCGGATCTGCATCAGCTGAAGGGGCAGGAGGAGGCTCTGGTCCAGGAGCTGGAGACAGTGGAGGAGCAGAGGGCTGCGGTGGCCCAGGACCTGACCCAGAGCAGGGTCCACTCCCAGCAGCTAGACACGGAGGAGCTTCAGTGAGTGTGACCCTAGACTGTGTGTGTGCTATTTGCCAAATGAGACAACAGCTAACAGCTCTTTGTGCTCAAAGGTACCAGAAGGAGTACAGCGAGTTCAAACGGCAGCAGCTGGAGCTGGATGATGAGCTGAAGAGCGTTGACAACCAGATGCGTTACTGCCAGATTCAGCTAGATCGCCTGAAAAAGACAAATGTCTTCAATGCCACATTTCACATCTGGTAAAAACACATGCAAATTATGTTGTATCTGTTTAAAAAAAAAAAAAAGTTTTGCTGTCAACCCATCAACGATGACTTGGCCAATATTTGTATAAAAAGCCTCCGGGACAAACATGAATCGATGCCCATTCACTGAGAATCTTAATTTATTTTTGTGTTCTTATCCAGGCACAGCGGACAGTTTGGTACAATCAACAACTTCCGTCTGGGTCGACTCCCCAGCGTCCCGGTGGAGTGGAACGAGATCAACGCAGCCTGGGGGCAGACGGTGCTGCTGCTGCATGCGCTGGCCAACAAAATGGGGCTGCGCTTCCAGAGGTACCCACATTACAATGTGCTTGCACTGAGATAATATTTAGTTTGTCTTTTGCTATCTTACAAATTTACTCTATCCCTTTAATTAGTGCTATTTGTTTAATTCAATCCTATATTAATTTATGGGTCTGGTTCAATGTATGTGAGCAGATGGTTTTGATTTACATTATTAGGCTCAGCTTTATGTTGCCTAACAATTCTTGGATCTAGTAAGATTTATTACAAATATTCTGCAAGTCTAAAGCAAAATGTATCTCAAACTACGCTTCTCTCTTCAGATATCGTCTTGTCCCTTACGGAAACCACTCATACTTAGAGTCCCTGTCAGACAAGTCCAAGGTAATTCAAACGGTCTTTACAATCCCAGCCCTCCTGTGATTATTAAACACTATCCTCCAGGCTCTAATCCTGCCCTTTCTCTCTGTCCGGTGTCTGTCCAGGAACTTCCTCTGTACTGCTCGGGGGGCCTGAGGTTCTTCTGGGACAACAAATTTGACCACGCCATGGTGGCCTTCCTGGACTGTGTCCAGCAGTTCAAAGAGGAGGTGGAGAAAGGAGACACTGGCTTCTGCCTTCCATACAGGTAAGACACCTGCAGCACAATGTGATCATTTGAATCTGGCGTTATTGCCGCATTATTAGATGGGCTGTAAATATTGATGAAGTTTGAAAGCAAATTCAAAACCATTACGTTGATTTATTTCTAGAGGAGCTCAAGAATTGTATTCATCAATTGTCCCATTGCGGAAATAAAAGGACATTTGGCTCCATAAACGTTTGAATTATTAAAGCATTGCCACACAGTGTGTACCTCAGGCTTTGTACCACAGACTTTGATGTGATAATAAAGTTAGAGGTATTTTTCAAGAATTGTATCTATATGATGTCATATTATTATTTTGACACAAGACCTTGCGTGATGAATGACATTGACGTTTTGTCTCAGGATGGATGTGGAGAAGGGTAAGATCGAGGACACGGGTGGCAGCGGCGGCTCTTACTCCATCAAAACCCAGTTCAACTCTGAGGAGCAGTGGACCAAGGCGCTCAAGTTTATGCTCACCAACCTGAAGTGGGGACTGGCCTGGGTCACCTCGCAGTTCTACAACAGATGAGACTTCTGGACAATGCTTTGTGATTTATAGTCCTAGTTTCCTCTGATGAATGGATTACGTGTGAATATTATTACTTGGCCAAAGGAAAAGCAATGGTTGTGTCGCAGGATTTTCAGTACAAACCTTCGTTGGAGCAATTCTAGATCTTCAGTCCAGATTGTCTGTGTTTTTACATTTTACAAAAGAAGTGATAATTTGCTGCAGAGTGGGATGTGGAAGCAGAATGAGATAACAACCTGTGCGTCTTTTAGTCCACTTTCATCATCTGCTTCACTAATTAATATCTTCGAAGAGCTGACAATGCATTAAAACATCTTCACACTTCTGCAGGCTAGAATGTAATTTAAAAGAAATCTTCGCCAAATTGACTTCTAACCACTTTATCAAGTTCAAGGATTCCTTGCTCTCCTGTTGCACTGCACACCTTTACATCACTGTGTAACCTCCACAGTGATTACATGTGTTCTTGTCCTTATAACATAAGCTGTAAAAGTGTGCTGTGATAATGAAGTTCAAGGTTGAATTTTTAATATATTAACACTGTTTAGTATTCAACAAGAACGTCAGTATTTCTTTAACCTCGAATGCAATTGTCATGTTTGCCAGTTACATACATACGTTGCAGGTAAACTGTTGTATTTAGAGGCTCACTGATACGGCTTCTTTGTGATCATACTCTGCACCATCACATCCATTTGTCCGTTTTAGATATGATGGATGCATGTAATGGTGGAATTTTAGTTAATAAAAAGTTTCATGCTGTAAAATTGGTGTCGAGTTTCTTATAAATTCAAAGTATTTTATAAATGAACAGAGAAAATTTAACACAGATAGAAAACACAGCAGTGTACTCTCTTGTTTAACTACAATACATGTACATTATTTCCCCATTGATTTCCCCAAATCAAGGTTAAGACACCACAGAGTTAACCAAATGTGTTTTTAATGGTTTCATAATTATTTCTGTTGAACTCTCATCACAACACTCACTCAGTCAGCCCCCCTATAAGCCTAACACAAACATTACAGGGGGTCATTTAGTCTTTCATGGAAAAATATGGACTCAATTAAAATAATAAGCTGACTTCCAGTTATCCAGTAAAATATTTAAATAGGTCAAAACCAGTTACTCTTCCCAGAATCAGCACTCTCCTGTATCATTTAATTGATGAACGTCTAATGGTGTCATTTCCATAAGGCAGGCTTTTGACTTCGCTCAGTCATTCCTTAAAGTCCCAGGTTCCAACCTATAGGGATATATATATTTGTAGCTGATCACTTATGATAGATTTCAAGCAGAATGGAATAACATTTCATAATTATTTTTCTTCTAAATCCTCCAGAGTACAGGCAATTTTCCAAGCTTCACAGCCTGTCAGTTGTGCAATTTTCTGGGTGCTTTTACTATTTATCGTGTAAAAACCCCTTGAAATGAACCAACGTTTTTGTTAGTGCATGCATATAGGCAAATCTTTGGGTTCCACTGAGCCCACAGCCACAGACTGGCCCTTCAGTTTTAGCACTTGTATGATGGTGGTGGGCAAACTTACTACCACATCATCCATTATTTTGGTTCCATTTACACTTTTACATCTTACATCCCATCATGCTCTTTGCCCTCTCACAATCAAGAGAGCAAAGAGGACATGCATCAAGAGTGTAACGTCTCTGTGTGGCTTTGTCCTCACTGGGTTTTTTTCAGCTTGCTTCAGTTGGAGGCACTGCTGCTGTAGCAGCCGGAGGTGGAGGGCAGGGGGGGGGCCTGAGGAGCGCTGCTGGCCAGGGCTTTTCTAATGTGTGGCAATAGGAAGGGGTCGCTGGCTAACTGCAGCACATCCACACGGTCCTCCTTGCGATAAGCCAGGCAACGTCGGATGAAGGCCTATGAAGGGAAAGATGTGGAATAAATTCTAAACTTAGATGCACTTTCTCTTTATTGGGCTAGAAAGAAAAATATCACATTCAAGAGGAAACATATGGTTTTAATGGACCTTTAAACCATTAAATGATACTGTTTGAATGTATAAAGGTAAAAGTGCCGTTAAAAGAAGTGAGCCCCTCACCTTTGCTTCTGTGGTCACCACAGGTTTGGGGGGGAACTGCACCTCAGTGGCTTTTAATATTGTGTTTTCTTGAAGAATATCCTGCTGCGACTGGTTATGACCGAAAGGCTGGAAAAAGAGATCAGGGGGACAGTTAGCAGACAGTTTAGTTGTGAGATTTAAAAAAATCCCTGTTGAAGAATGCAGGTTTGTGATTACCTTGCGTCCGTATAGGCTCTGGTAAAAGATGACCCCTAGGGACCAAACATCCACCTTGTTGGATATTTTGGGGGGCTCCTTCCCCACGACAAAGCACTCAGGAGGCAGGTACCTGTGAGACACAAGATCACAACATACGAGATTGAAAACGTGAAAAAGTTCTCTCTGAACAACTTTTCTGAACCAAGAGGTGAAGTGAATTCATTAGCAACATTTCATTCTGCGCCTCTACTGTGAAGCCATACTTGTTGCTTGGTTACTAAATGCAGGGTAATGTGTCTATGTACCAGTAGGTCCCGGCTCCCTGAGACGTCAGCTCCATGCCATCTGCAGAGTTGTAGCAGTCATCATCCATGACCTTAGACAGGCCGAAGTCAGTGATCTTGATCTCTCCACAGGCTGTGCCATTCACTAACAGGATGTTCCCTAAGAACAGAACAGAATAGTAAACAACAATAAAAAGCTTACACCTATGTGCAGAAATCTATCTTATTTACAACATTTTTCTTGTGCTATTAGGTTACCTTTTCATAAAGACAATATAATAAATCAAAACGGTGAGTATACCGGGCTTGAGGTCGTAGTGGATGATTGGCGGGCGGATCTGGTTGAGGTACTTGAGGGCGTTGACGATCTGCATGACGACAGAGCGGCCCTCCTTCTCAGGCATCAGCTTATTCTGCTTCAAGTAGAAGTCCAGGTCATTGCCTTCACAGTACTCCAGCACTGTGCAGAACCTGCAGAGGGAATCCAACGGATCATTCGTCAAACTTGGTAGCTACGTAGTTATTTACACAAGCAGCAGTAATGGAGCACATTATCATTCGTTTTGGAAATAAAAACAATTGAGTTGAAACGTGTTATAAAGGACGTGCAGATTCAGTAGAGACATCTATCCAGAAAACCCCTTTCCTATTTTCATTTTATACATTTCATTCTAAAAAATATATATTATAGTTGCTTAAAAGAGTTTCCTTTTAACAATATATGTATATATATGTGAAGCACTTATGTGACACACTTGGTATATTTGCACACCTTTAGGAATTTAACATAGCAATATGAACTTACGAGCCTGTGTCGAGTGAGAAATAGTCGTAGAGTTTGACGATTCTCGGGTGGTCAAGTTCTTTGTGGATTCTGTATTCTCTACAGGCGTGTCTGAAAAGACATAAAACATTTAGTCATTTTTTTTAAAAGCTCACAAATAACAGCATTCAGAAACGAAGAGAAGGCAAATTAAACGGAGCTTCAGACTCACTTGTGGTAGTTTTGCTTCTTCTCCTCCCTCCAGTTCTTGTTGAGTTGATGGACTTTAATGGCCACATACCTTTGCTCTGTCATATCGAAAGCCTGCAAAAACATTACACAAGATCAGAAGCCTACTATAACAAGATAGTTGCATTCAACACTGTATGGCGTTGCAAGTTTAACTACAATATCTCACTTCCATTATTCAAAAAGACCCAACAAGTTAAAAAGATTATAATATGGTCTGTTAAAGAATGTAAGTGGTGCTTACCTTGAATACTTCACTAAAGCCACCTCTTCCAAGTAAATGTAATAGCAGATATCGGTCATTCAGCGTGGGCTGGTCTTTAAATCTGCAGAAAAATACCTTCTTAAAGCTTTTTGGGAAATGTGTTTCTATAGGATGAAAGCACACTGAAGGACTTGTGATACATATGTTTAACAGATATGAAACGTACTGCGAGTTGTCCTCGTTAAGGATTCTCTTCAGCTCCCGAATGTGCACGTTTCTCACTCGCTCCAACTGTTCCAGCTCAGTCTGGATCTCCGCTTCTTCCTGCAAACAACCACACAAAACCTATCATCGACCACAACCCTCCATAAACAGGAAAAGGTAGAAGTTGTAATTTATCTCTAGATTAGTAATGTAGCAAGAGGTCCAACAAAAATATCCAAAAACAATAAAAACAAATCTGCTTTAAGTGGCGAGTGGTACCTTTTTTAGATGGCCAATTCGTAGTTTGAAAATCTCCTCTTGCTCATGATATTCAGCCAGTGACAACCTGTGTGGAATAAAATGGAAACCAAGTGTTGATAACCAGGACAGCTGGTAAGTAATAACTACTTTAAAGTTAAATACAAAGAAACACAAAGCTGTCCTATTAAGGCTTTTCACAGATCAGTACAAGTCTGATTCAATAGTTGGTAAATGGGGAAAAGGAAAAGAAAAGAATCTTACGCTTCACTCTCCTGGCCGTTATTCCTACTCTTCCGTTTGTTCTGTTCCAGGCTGGGTGGAGGGGTCTGAGCCATGGAGGGAGGTTTCCTTTTCCCCAGCAGCTTCCTCTGCCTCTCGATGTCCTCCCGCTGAGAGTTCACTCGCTCCTGCTGCCTATAAACATGCAAGAACAATGTAGTGTGAACACTCTGGCACGCAGTATGGATAACATGCAAATATGTTAGTGCCTATCTGCATGCTGACTTGATGAGGTTCTGGAAAGCAAATCCATCGGTCCACTGCTCGGTGAAGGAGGCTCCGTGCCGCACTGTGGTGAAATGGCCCAGACGCAGACGGTCCTGCATGCTCTTGTCCCTGCAAGCCATCTTCTCCTGCTTTGACTACGAAAAAGAAAAAAGATATCACTTTAAAATGGCTCATTTCGGACGATGTAAACAACCAAAAATATTCAACAGAGCCCAAAAATACTTTTTTTTTGGTACTTATTTTGGACAAAATTGGTTCCCATTTGTTGAATAACTTAACAAAGCGGTTTCCTTCAAGTTAACATATTTGTCAAAAAGCATATGCGCACCCACCTTCTCGATCATGAGCTTTTTGCTCATTGTCACACACTTGTTGAGCCGTTCTTTGTAGCGCTCCAGCATCTTCTGCTGCTCGTCCACCTGCCGCCTCAGGTCACAGTTAGCCTGCCCAAACACACATAATCAGTGTGACATTTTGTTTCTCATTACAAACAAGATATCAAGGCTGTTTTGCTCTTAAAGTGACAGGATGCAACAACTCTCAGAGTGTCAGATGATTTGCTGACATTTCCACCAGATTTGATTTGAGCAATAATGGCATTTGAAAGTTAGCAAGAAGGTGTTGTGACATGTGACAACACGTTTTTCTGGATTGTGAGATGATTATCAAGGACAATTGAGAATAGTTTTTTATTTAGACATCCTTGACTGTGGTGTTAATCATTATTATTAGTTGTTGTTAAATTGTGGCATTTCAGTACAAGATTTCGTCAGGAATAAAATGATAACTACTCTTTCAGATGTTCCAATTGCTCCAGAATAAGTGTAGCTCATGAATGTTTGAGACAGATTTCCTTATCTTACCCTCAGCAGGTCGTCTATCCTCCCCTCTTTCTTCTCCAGATCAGAGTTCTTGTTCTTCTCCAGTGCGGTCAGTTTCAGCAGCGTCAGATCTGACTGGAGAACAACAACAAGACAACAATAAAGATCTCATCCCACTCAAATTATGAAGACATCCCTTGGGTCAGTTAGTAAGAAAATACACCATCACTTTGAAATGAGCTGTTTTAGATGGGTATTACAAATATTGACTTTAAATTAGGTCAATTATATTAATAGTTGTTGTTTTTGTCCGCACAAACACCTTCAATCTTAGCTCTAATAACTCTCCAGACCTAGAGTCAGTTTTATTATGGCCATTGGACCTGGAGTGACCTGCAGGATAGACTTAAACTAGATTCTGATTTTGCTGATAAAAAACATTACATATACTAATACACATTTTGACCTGTCTTCCTTGTGTGTGTTATTCACTCAACCTATTCTGTTTATGCTTGGAGATTGAGGCCTTCTTGGCCAGATCACCATTGTAAAAAAGATGTTATCCTTATTGTTTTTTATCTGATTAAATACAAGTTAAATTAAGTAACTTTTCAGATGACAACGTGTGGGTTTCAGCACCTTTTACATTTTCAATTTTTGCACTTGCATTTCGTCTCTTTATTCTTTCTAATTCTTTTGATTCTAAAAAGTTAGGTATGAGGTTGTATCATATCTACGAGTATCTACAAATGATCTCTCAGTGCAAAAACAGCTGAAGGACAAATTCACCGGTTCATGTAAGAAGTCAATGTGAAAAGGTAGAGCCAGATTTAAAGGCAACTACCATTCATAACCAAAGCAAAGTGCTATCAAAATATAAAATGAGAATATACTTGTGAAATGATAAAAGTTGGTGTTAAGTTGGGGTCAGTCAGTCAGTTACCTGGATGGCTTTGTGTGAGAAGGAGCGTGAGGGGGCTGTCTTCACTGAGCAGCACGATGAAGAGTCTGTGTGGGCCGAGCCTGTGGACGAAGGACTGCCCTGCTGGAACTGTATTCCAGAGAGACAGAGAAACAGAAAGGTAAGGGATACACAGGGGGTTTAACACAACTGTTATATAATGAAGACAGCATAGGGAGATTATAAAATAGCTGTAAGGGATACAAAGAAAAATAATTAAAAGTGTAGCTGATAGAAGGGGAGAGAGTTTAAACTTCACATGTAAAAATCATCAAGTAATTATGCTACATTCCAATACATTAAGAATAGATAAAGAAAAGCAATTTTGCTCCTATCACTCTTTTGCCGAGTATTTTTAAAGGCTGTTAAAATGTAAGTAGTGACCAAGGTTTTGTATTTGTGATGAGGAATGAATGAAAACGGTGGGGATCCAAGTTGAATGATTACATCCTCTTCAACAACTACTCCAAATTCAAAAGCGCATGCAACATAAATATATACATTGTTCTCCTGTACAGCTTCCTGCCTTACATACCAGCTCATTGTGTCAAACACACATTTAAACCAACACCTGAAAACACGAAACGCTGATTTTAATTTAAAGGGGACCTATCATGCAAAATGCACTTTTGTACGTCCTTTATACATGAATATGTGTCCCCGGTGTTCCAGGGAACTCACCAAGTGTCAGAAAACACAACCCTCTCTATTTTCCTCCATACCCAAATCTCTAAAAAAGGGGCTGCAACGGATCTGATAAAAACTGATCCAGATTTGAACACTGTCCTGACGTCAGGACAGTGGCGCTACAGCTATTGGGCCAACTCCACCAATCAGGAGGAGACAACCACGGCCATTGCCGTTCGAAAGCGCTGGAGACGCTGTAGTACATATGCCAGGCCTGTAGATGGTGCTGTTCTCACTGAATCTGCCCTTGCAAAAACAGAGCTAAAACATTTCAAATTGAGCAAAATGAGGCATGGCTAAAATGCATGATCTGTTTGGTAGTTTGAAAAAGAAAAAAGTATAAATATGCCTTATATAGGTATGGTCCTACACTATATTATTCAAATATAGCATGATAGGTCCACTTTAAAGTAAAAATAGGGGAAACTAAATCTTAAAAAATGCCCTGGGTAAAGGAATGTTTGATCACTTCCACTGGCTGAAAGCATCGAGATAAACAAAAAGCATGTCTATTAAATGGATTAGACTTTGGTAAAACAAAACAAAATCTGAGCGATTCATGCCCCGCCAACTCTATCCAAGAGGGTACCGATACTGGGAGAAAATAGACAAAGATCAAACAGCAGATGAATTTGACACTGGCTATAGACAACCCAACAGTAAACCAAGAGATGAAAGAGTGCTGAAGCAGTAGAGTGCTATGGAGATGGCTGCTGGTGCTCACCAGAGGGTTAGACAGTGAGTGCTGTGGAGAGGAGCGCACCAGCAGGGGGACGCCCCGCGCCGGGCTGGTGCCAGAGCCGCTGCTACAGGCAAACTGGACCCCGGGCAGAGGGTGAAAACAGACAGAAAGGAAGAAGACAGCGTTGTTATTTAGGAAGAATGGGATGTAGTAGTATTGGCACAGCTGGAGAGTGAGGTTGAGGACATCACAGGAAAGTTTGAGAGGCAACGATCGATGCACAGCAAAGTGACCTGAATGCAAAATCAACAGGACTGAGTACTCACCTCAAAATAGTCACTTATTTTTTGTCCTCTCCCTTTTCCTGCAAAAGAACAACAGAACATGTATAAGAAGCAAGAAAAGGTTATAATTTCCTGTATGTTTTTAAGCATTTTTGGGAAATAATAATAATAATATAATAAACATTATTTGTATGGTATCTTTCATGCAAAAAGCAGCCCAAAGTGCTTTACAGAAAACATAACAACAATATTAAAATAATATTAAAATAAATAAAGAACAAGATAAAAATTCCCTTGATGACTAACATTAATACATCATTGAATAGTATTTGCATACAAGAGTGTGTATTTACATTTTTTCCAAATTTGCAAAGATAAATATTTAGTTCCAAGAAGAAAATAGCAAATTGATGAAAGTGAAACAATGTGAGTGAAGTTCAGTTGTTTCTGTTGGGAAAGCGCACCTTTGGATATCTGTTAATAAGTAGGATGGTCTTACCCTGGCTGTTGTTGTCATAGACGTCTCCTTTTCTCTTCCTTCTTCTCTGGTCATTGGACTTCTTCTCTGGTGTCTAACACGAGTAGAAAAGTGCCAACATTAAGCCTTGCACCTTTAAGTTATACTGTCATCATTTTACTCTTGGCTTGCTAAATGGAAACATTTGACCACAATTCAATAAGATAAATTGCAAATTATTTCCAGTGCCATAAGAGTTTAAGGTATTGCTTTAGGGTGTTTATGTATGGTGTCTTTGGCCCTTATGATACATAAAACCATTTTGATGTGTTAAAAGCCTGTTGACGTATCCAAAGTGTTTTCCAGTTTTTTTCTAAATGAATACCTCACCTTCTTTTTTCCATGAGTAAGTGGGAGTAGTTAATGCATGAACAGATGAATCACACACACTGCACTATAGCCAATTGTTAGCATCCACCCCTGCATACACAATACGTTATCCCAGGAAGTATGGAGAAGGTCAAATGACTTGCAGATAAGTGCACAGTCACATGTCATTTTGATTGAATCTTTCCCCAACCCACCTCTAGCTCCCTGTCACTGAGTGATCCTGCGCTGCACAGTGACTGGTTGGATGATTCACTGTTGGCTGAACTCTGGAAAACAGAACACACACACACACATTAGACCTGATTGATTAGTCATGTGACGCTCTGGTGAGCAGATCGTTGTTAGGAAACTGGACATTAGACATAAGATATTGTTAAATGACCATTTCTAGGTGGCATCACATGAGGTTTGCTGAAATGCTCATGTAAGTTAACTGACAAATCAAAGTGAAGATTTCCACACATCCTCCTATCTGACAAATTATACTAACTGCCTCACCTATAATATGACTCACCTTTTTGGGTGTGTTTACAATCGTAACACAAATTACATCAGATTCAAGCCCTGTTTCACTGACGTGTGCACATTTATTTTACTTATGCTTTGGCCCTATTTTGTAAGGAAATGTAACACATTCATCGAACAGTTATAGTTTTAACATTGCTGTCACTAAGCTAAGCTTCTAAGCAAGGATGCTACAATGGGCGTATAATATACATTCCCCTGTAAATCTGCAAGTCTTGAGTTTACATCCACTTCAGTTGGTGTCATGCATGCATACCACTAATGGCCAGCTGCACAGATTGAAGAGAATGAGAAGAAACAGCAGGCACAGTGGTGCAGGCCAGCTGTCATTCTGCTGCACAAGGTCACAGAAAACAGCCAAGACATGTTCAGATTTTTTTCTCCTAATGTGGACACTAGACATGTTCATCATAGTGCCATGGAAATGTACTGTAGTCAGCATGCTAACATCCTAAATCATTGAAACTCTATGATAATGAGCAGGCCTAGCAATGCATTTCAGAGCACACAGGCCATAGCAGGAGTGATAGTGATTGCTTTCTAGGGTTGCCATTTTGTCAAACGCACACCCACACAGTAATACACAGTTCAGCAGCAGGGTTGCAGCATAGCACGCCGCCGATGCTGTGAGATTCAGCTGCGGTGCCATTTCAGTGTCACTAATCTCCACTGAAACAAAGAGCTGCTGGCCAGCTCCCATGTCAGCCAAGACAGAGCTCGTGTTGTTTAGCTTTCACTCAGGGAGACAGGATCATGCCACTGAGGTAAACTCCTGAACACAGAGCATCATTCAACACTGGAAATAGAGAAGACTTCCAAGCTTTTCTAAACTGGAGGACTAACAGAAGAGAGCTGACTGACTGCTCATGTTTGCAACACAAAACAACAGTGGGATTGTGGGATGTGTGCATAGGAGCTACTCTTTTGTAACTGTCTTTTTCTTTGGCAGGGATAAGAAGGAACCCTCATTTAAATGTATCAACAAGTAACAGTCATCTCCTATTACGTTGCATTTAAAGCATTACATCTGCATTAACAATCAGCACTTTGCCCAGACGATAATTTTGAGCATCAAACAAATATAATATACTATAAAGAGATGCTAACCTTTGCCACACCAAGACCAGTGAAGCGAGCCTCAAGCAGTTCCTGCCTGCGTGGGTCCAGACCTAAAGCCTGGCTGTGAAGTCCTTCCATCATGCCTAAAAAGAGAGACACAATGCATGGAAATGGGAGTTAGGTGGAGTAGCTATGTTGGGTTATTGTCAAACAAGTTAAAACAGCAGGAACCCAACAATCTAGTCAATCCTGAGGTCATGGAAGCCCGGGACTAGGTTGGATCCAAAATATTTGTACATCCAAGTGGGACAGTGTCAAATAAAGACAGAAAGCAAACTTGTTTTAAAGCTTCCTACCTTTGCTAAGAAACCAATTTTAAATAAAATAAGTTCAATTTTGTTCTGAGGAAGAAAGCACAAAGACAAATGTGATTTTCCTTCATTAAAGAACTTGTGAAATAACTTGAGCTAACAGACAAGGTCGACACCCAGCAGAACTTTGAACTGTTATGATAGGTGCTTTATGGTTAACTTTTGAGATAACTTAACCCTGGCAAAGAAGGTGAAAACTAATTCTGCCAGATTCTGGTAAGTGTGTGCCATGAAGGTATATTCTTTCAAGTGAAGTTTGTCTTTTCACTAGTTGTATCTGCAAAACTCCTACATGTTAAAAGGTTTAAATTATGTGTAAGGTGGATATTCAAAATGACAAACCATAAAAGCAAGTGAGTGGAAAATACTGGTGAGGAGGGTAATTCCCCACTGTCATAACATTCCTAATTTAAATTCAGGGAGACATTAAAGCAAAATTACCTAAAATAATCTTTAATATAGTTATCTTATGACCATATTAAAGAACCATATGGCAGGGCACGACTTCCCTTTGCCATATGGGAACTCCTCCCTGTCAGGGTATCCATCAACTAGCGATGGATTCATCATTTTATCATTATGACTGTCACTTAAAACAGAAGAGACAACCAGACAATATAAACATTATAGTTGTGCCAAGGAATTTAACATAAGAGAGCACATTTTTCCTTAAAAGCCTGCCAATTTGTATTACAAAATAGACAAGAATATGAAGCTTCATTTCAACTTTTATGACAAAGAACAACGTTCAACTCTAACTTTATTTAAAGAGGACAGTAGATGGAAAATCTCTCACAGTAATTGACTGACAGGAAGACGTTGACTTAGCAAGTTAACGTCAAATGCTATTATGCTTATGAAAATCTTGCGAACATTTTAAGAAAGGAAAGCGGCCATGCACTGTCGCATACTAGGAATCAATTAAAAGTTTAGTTTTGGTAAAAGCAGTTAGGCTAACTGGTTATACTAAATGATAGCTAATGCTACATGACATGTCATCTAAACTGGCTAGCGTTAAGTTATCTAGCGAGCTAACATTAGCTGCAAGTCTCACCTGGAGAAGCTCTCGCAGTTTTCACAGTCACTCACAGCCCTAGAGAGGATGTTGTCCGTCCATCCGGTGACAGCAAACTCCTTAACACTTCCCATGCATCTCAAATAAAGTTGTCCGGATTGAGTTATCCATTTATAGTTCTTTCTCATTCAGTGAAGACATTAGTCAGCTAAGCTAATGCTAGCTAAGGAGAGCGGTGTGGCTGGCTCTCGCCGGTGTCATCCGGACAGGAGGCCCTGATCCTCGGGGTTTCCTCGTCCGTCTTGGTGCCCTCGCACGGGCAGACCTGGAGCTGTCAACGCTCTGAAGCTTCTTGGCAAGTGTTGTCACATATCTGCTTCACTCGGTCTTTCTATTGTCATTATCCCGCGATGTAACGTTATACAGGGAGAAGTTCGGCCACCTTGTTAGAGTCCATCCTTGAAATGTTAATTAAAAATCCTTACCCCCTGCAGTAACACCGTACAGGGCTCCAGGGAGAGCTTTATGTGATGCTTTCCGTGCGCTTGTTTAACAGATAATGTAACTGCTGGTGAGAACAAACATGCAGCATATGGTAGGCAAGGCTGGTTATCCAATGGGCACTGTGCGAGGCCCCAGAGCTCCAGGGGCCCCAACAGTCCCAGGTTTTGACACATTTCGGATTTATATGTCAACTTTTAGCACTAGCCTGAAATGTAATGATGTTTCACGAGACTAATCACGCCAAATAAGAGGATGTGCCACTCCCTGATGAAATGTTTTGTTATTTGATATAATGGTCCCAAGGACAACATCTAAATACGAAGCTTTTCCAACACATTTATGCACCGGTCCTCGTCCATAAACAACCCAAGGGAGAGAAAACGCCACAAACGGCCATGTCACTAAATATAATTCAGAGTTTGTTCGTCTTTTTTGCCATCAACTCTAGCGTATGCGTAGTGCCTTATGTTGTTTGTGCCAACGTATAGCAGCAGGATCAGTGCGTCTCCAAACGGAGGGAGGCGATGCCTGTGCCATTTTACGCACGCCTCGCAGCACCGATAACTCAACCCAATTGACCTAATCTGCAAGTATACTGCTCCGTGTACGATGTATAATTCATCTTGGATAGTTCAGTTTGTATATTGGATTGTATTACATAACAGACAAGCACCAAAGTTATAGTTATGCGGTGTAAATCCAGGAGATGGCAGCAGAGCACTGCAGACAAAACGCCCGGCGTACTCAGTGTAGGTCAGTGTAGCAGGGAGGCAGCACAAACATTAATAGTCCTCTAACTGTAATAAAAGTGTTTATAATCTAGCTTTGGCTCTTGTAAAACCCTGTAATGCGTCATTTGGAATAATTTCATTTGGTCTAAAATTAAAACATCTTTGTAAAACCACAACCTTTCTTCTCATGTATTAATTATTTTAGCCGGTAGTGTTGAGTGATGTGCATCCTGTGTATGCTGATTGTTGAACAAATCACCAAGAGGCAGAACATTTAAAGTGAAATATTGACAGGGCTTGATAAAAGATTATCACAGGCAACTCTGCAGACTCTAAAGAAAATGTGAATGAGAGGAAACTCTGGTTGTCTGTTATTGTGGTATTCTTGGGGAAATTAGTTAAAAACAAGACGTGAAGTGAAAATAAGTAGTTGTTGTACCTTTTAAAAACTTCAATAATTTACAACAGCGTATCTTTTTTTATCAAAAGTAATGATACTACTTATAATACTAAAATAAAATGTCATGAGACACATGGGTGAAAACCCTAATCTCTCAGTGAAAACAAGAAACTGCACCAGTTTTCAGACAATTACAAGTTTACTGCAGACCACATAATATCTCCAGCATGGCTTGACTGAATTAAAGACCATTGAAATGTTGCCATCGTTCCACTGATGGGACAAATGGGAAATCCAAAGTTATGATCAGAAGTTTTTTTAGATTATTATCATGATTATTATCTGCCCTTTTGTTCTTCCACTGGTTTCAAGGATCAGCTGACATGTCACTTTAAAAAAGTATTTTCCCACTAAACCTCAGTGGTATCCAGTCATGTACATAGTTGTGGTTTTATCTCCCTCTGAGCCAGATATTCAGAATAATCTACAGATCTTTTCGCTAATATTTTCCTTTTAAAACTACTTTTCGCCAGATGTAATGAAGAAAAGAAAGAAAATGGAAAACCATCCAATGTACTTTTGTAAATGATCCAGAATATTGCTGATTAAAGAGACATTAAAGTAAAAAAAAACATTTTCCAAACTTTGGGGCTCCATATTTATCTCAATATATAGGCAAATTAAAATATTTGCTGCACATGGCAGGATACTATGTGTGGGTGTAAATATATTTTTGTGATTTGGTTCAAACCTGCACAACACGAGTTCTTTGTCGACCCAAAAAGCATTATCTCATTTATCAGTGTAGTATAGGTGGCTGTTTATGACAAATCCCTGATAAAATGTGTCCTCAGAAATCATTTATACATATTTACAAACACAAATAATTATTAATTATTGACTTGTGACAGTAGAGGCCTGCACATGATTCGCTGCCTTCCCAAAAAAAATGATAAAAGTCCATTATTCTTCATCCGTGTTGAGTTCAGTAGCATCAGTCTTTTCCTCTGTATGTAATGTTTGTAAAGGTAGATGTGGCTCCTTTGTAGAGAGGATTGTGTCCCTGTTGGTCAAATACACGAAGAAGACATAAATTAAACTGAGTTTCACAACAAACAAGTTCATTCTTATGGTTTAGTATTCTCGGTACATTTGAAAAAAGGAAACCAAGGGAAATGCAGAAGAGAAAGAAAAGTGTAACGTTTTCATTTCAGTTACTTCGTGAGCACCTTAGAACTACACTGTGTTTCTTAGTGGTTTCAGGGTCTTTGGGATTTGGGTGTGTTTTAGAGGCCTGTTAGTGTTACCAGTAAAGGATAATTAGCGTTACCTAATTTAAACCCAGCCCTTCCGCTGGCTTTTGTTCTGCTGGGAGTAACAGCATGCCCCAAAAATAATAAAAAACATCTTCAGAAAACGAATCAGAGAGACTGCGTGTGTGGCCTTTTGTGTGTTAGTGTCTGTGTGTTAAAGGTACAGTCATGATTGCATTAGTGTGTGCCATGTCACGCTAAAATAATTAATCCAAGGAAAGAAGATCTAGTGCATTTAGTGTTGTTTAATTTATCTTTTTTATTTACATCTAAATGAACCTTGACTATACCTTTCGTTAATCTAAGTTTTAAACAAAGAGCCTAATAAAGAATGTACACACACATGTCACCACGTGCTACATTTACTGACCGTGTCCCACTTGGCATGAGCGCGTTCTTCCTCAAATTTTGCAAACTCCCGTCTGTCGTGAATGGTGACCAGCAGTTTCCAGATGAGTAGTGCCGCCAAGCCGAGGAACAAGATAGCTCCTGCCACCGACAGAAGCACCACTAAAATGTCTGGACCCTTGGGGCACTCTGAATTAAGGGAAGAAAAATATATTTAAAATAATAATGAGAAGGGGACACAGGAGACGATTAGCAAGGAGGCAGTCCAGAGGAAGTGATAATGATTTCCATCCTGTCATGGCACTAGATGATGTTGCTAATGTTCCTCTGCTAAATGCTATTTTTTCAGGTTAAAAGTGTGCTTTTAAATCCTGAGAATATTCACTTGACACTTGTCATCCTAGTCATTTCATTATAAATAAATCTGCTCATTACCTTCTTGATTTATAATCGCTTTGTCCAGAACATGTCAGAAAATGGGGTCCATCCCAGTTTCTCAAAGTCCAAGGAGATGTTTTTTAATGTTATTGTTCAATCTGACCATATATAAATATATTTATATTCTCTTTATTATAATATAATATTATATTCTAGCATGAAGGCTTTCTTAACGATATTATCTGTCAAGTGATGCACGATTAGATCAATGGGACCTTTAAATACCGAAGAGCAGAGAGGAGGATGGGCTGATGGGAAATAGTAACCTCACACAACCAGGCCACAAACGTCCCTTCCCTATTTATGGTCTGGCAAAACTAAGGAGGAATTTGATTTGTAGAGTTTCATGCAGGCTGTACAAAAGATGTCTGAAATAACTCTCCCTCTAACATGAAGGCTTATTTTCCATCATTAGATGTTCTGGGAAACTTTCTCCGAAATGAACCAACAAACATGTTTCCGAATTAACATGAGAGCACTTTGAGGCCATGTACTGCTGAATCATTCTTTATTTTATGCCTACAACTTCTAGTCTAAATAGTTGTTTGAGAGGAAGTCACATGATCTCAATCTAAATAGTTCACTGATTGGATTTTGCCCGTTTTCAGGATGTATTCATTAACGACAATGCAAATGGCTCTTACTTGGAACCAGTTAGCTTAGTTTGTTTTTATTCCCAGATGAAGCAGATTAGCAGCATTACGCTCTTCACAAAGCTTCATAAGCCCTTAAACCTAAAAACTTCTGAACCGCAATAACAGTTTGTTTTATTGGGCACTTGGGGGCAGTGGAAACAAGCTGTAAATACATGACATATTGTCACTTTTAAATTGATATGTCTTACTTTTTAGCTAACAGTGGCCATTTCTTCTATAATATGCCCCAACCAACACTTGAAATATTTATACCAGCTAGGTACTGACTTTGCCCATCTGCTGTGCCTACAATGATCTTTACAAACAACAGATGCGTGCTGTTACCAAAAAAGACACTTAAGCAGTGAGAGTGAACCAAACCAGTTAAGTTGTGGGCAGGAAAACCAAAACAATTAGCGGAATTAGCTGACAGTTGCTATTAAGCTGTGTGGAGCTAAGAGGGGGGATTAATCTCTGTGGGTTTGTCGCTGCAAGTGGCTTCTGTCACATCCAAGTAGTCATCTTATTTATAGTGAATATAAGCTTTTTACCAAAGCTGCTATCATTTTGTTTGTTGAGCACTTTGTAGTGAATATGATTATTCTATTTGTATTCATGAACTGAAGTCTGGCAGCAATTGAGTTTCTTCATTGCAAAAATGTCTTACCTTCACACTTCTAGCCACCAGTGATGAGAGCCACCTGGTCCATATGTGTGAGCACTGTTTGTTTGCCAGACTGGATGTATGTCTGTTTACTGTATGGGACTATTTGCAGTGGTGGAATATAACTAATTACTTTAATCAAGTACTTAAAGGTAGGGTAGGTAAGTTTGAGAAACCGGCTCGAGATCGCTAGAATTTGAAAATACACAACCGGAGAAAATCTGCCACTTCCTTATAGAGCCCCTCCTCCAACACACACGAACGCGCACATGACCAATGAGGGCATGAGATAAGTTTGTGCACAGATGGAAGGCTGACAGGCAGGTAGGCCATCCAGTTATTTTAGCCGGGCCGGCTAAAATGATTGGTCGTGCTTTTTACAGTACTACGGCTTCCACAGATGACATTTTTTTATGGATTTTTTGTCAAAGCACTTAAGATATTCATTGCTATCGGGATGTTAAGAGCATTCCATGGAATATAACAAAAAGTGTATCTCGAGCCGGTTTCTCAAACTTACCTACCCTACCTTTAAGTAAAGTA